CGCCTACCGGCAATATTTCCAGCGGTTTCATTCAAGCAAGATGACGAAGGACAAGTAAAAGCTGAGGTACAAAGCTTGACGACGGCGGAAATCATCGTAACCATCCAAGAAAATGTACGAACAAACGTGGTGGTGGATAGCACAGTCTGCACAATCGCGGATGCAATTCTAACAGGTTGCTACAAATGCGCTAGAGGTGCAAAAGCTACAGTCAAGTGTACGGCACCAAAGCAAACTCAAGCAGAAATTATCTGCGGGACTGCCAGTTTCACTGTGGACTGCGACCAACAAGGTGCGCTTTCAGAGCTTCAGTTCAGCCTGGATAGAGCGAGAGTGCAAATGACATGCTCAGTGTCTTGTGGAACAATTGTAACAACTTTTGAAGTAGGAGGCATTCTCAGATTCACACAAACAGCTCATGGAATGATGACACAATGGCTGTCTGGAAACGGAGACCAAGCAGCAGAAACTCAGTGGCCAGATTTTTGGCACATCGCGGAAGTCTTCCTGCAGTGGTACAAAACGTTGATAGTGGCAGTAATCGCGCTACTAATCGTTTTGGGAATCACCTACGCTTGCTTTTCATTGCAAGGAGTATGCTGTGTATTCCGCTTTCTCAAAGTAATTATGCTGCTCATACTACTGTTTTTTCGTCTCCTATGCCGACCTTTCTGCCTATTGCAGTCAGAAATCAAAGAAAGGCTCCATGAGAAACTTCTGTAAAATTGTGCATTTCTACTCTCGGGAAAAAGCAGCTTATTCAAATTATTCTCATCGTACGGCACAGATCACAGAAATTCACATCGAACAGGTTAAACATTGCACGAATCATTTTCATTCCAGACAGGACATGGAACAAGGACGTTACGAACAATATCAAGAGGAAATCAACAGCCTGCGTTCAAGAATGTCGGATACTGCTGAGGACCTTGAACAAGAGATTGCCGAGCTCATGACGAAGATGAGAGCGAAAACCGATGAAGTAGCGAACTTCATTTCACAGTGCAGGATCTACAGGTTCAGGAAAAGTCAAAATCCCGGCTCGCGACTTCAAAGGCTCATGGATTACCAAGAAATGCTCAATACGGGAAGAGAGCTGCAGGGAGACGTTGTTCGCATAACAACGAACTTTTGCCACATCTCGGATATTTACAAGATCAAGGCCGAAGCAGGACTGGTATCTCGGGGAAGATGGCAAGCATGGCAGGTGCTCGAGATGGAGCGGGATCCCTTGAGCAAGCACACGATGAGTGAGGTCGCCACTCAGAACGTGAGCAGCGTCGAAGTAGTCCTCAACCAGGTTAGGGACTACATCTCCGACCTAATCGAGATGATGGAGGAGGACGAAGAAGAGCTACAAGAGCGGCAGCAACGCGACCCAGAACCACGCATGTTTGAAGCCCCTCAACCGCCGGAAGAAGAAACTACGCATCCCGGACCGAGTCGGAGCAGAAATGGAGATGAAGCAGGAGCAGGGCAGCCGGCCGAGAAAAGAAGACGCCAACAAGCAGAAGATGAGGAAGAGGACGAAGGAAACGATTGATGGAGAAGAACGATCACCAAGCAGGCCCGGAGTGTCGAGAAACTCGACCGATAAATTCTATAATTTCTGTTACGATTATTGACTTTTGATTGCCATGAAATGTTGAGTGCGCGGCCAGTCCTTTCTTTGTACGGCTGCAGCTGCGCCAAGCATCTAGCAAAAAAGGATGGTCGTCGCAGCTGGCGACCTCCTCTTCGCATTCTTGACTTAAGTGTCATTTAGTTATCATCGTTTCAGCTCATTTAGCCGTGCCTTATAGTTACTCTCACTTACATTGCCTTTATTTGCTTTCAGCTCAGTTAGACTAAAACATATCAATCATTTTATGCCTAACGTGTGCCATAATCAGAATCTCATAATATGCTGGTAGTATATTCGTTTGAAATATCGTTTGTTTAATGTTTATATTTGTCGATAAAGGTTTAATTACCCAAGTTTGAGGTAACATCTCCTCGTGCACAACTCCGCTCTAAAGTCCCGCGTGGCAGTTGATATTTTGGTGACGTGGTCAAGTGGTATTAGACGATTATCGTACTGACTATATATACCTCGTCCCAACCTCATTACATAACCTACTACCATCATAAACGACTTCTTTTCTTCTTGCGGCGCTGTGGCAAACTTTCTTTTCCAGCTTTCGACTGAATCGTATCTTCGCTCGAAGGAGACGGTGATCGGAGCCACTGCAGAAGGATGGAACTACTGAGACATCGAGCAAGCTCCACCTTCGGTTGGTGAGAATGTAGTCGATCTCCGCATGAGTCGTTCCGTTGGGCGATTCCCAAGTCCACCGGCGATGTTCTTTCTTCGTGAAGATGGAATTTCCATGGAAAAGTCGTGCGGCGGAGAGAAGCCCAACGAGACGGTTGCCGTTTTCGTTCCGGAGCCCATATCCAAACTTCTCGATCCTACATTCCTCTTCTAGTGGCATGCCGATCTTCGCGTTGAAGTCGCCCACAACGAACTTATAGAAGGACTTCTCGTTGCGGGCGACCTGCTCCGGGTCTTCGTAGAAAGCATCTAGTTCTGAGTCGTCAGCTGCTGATTTGGTGAGTAGCAGTTGATGATGCTGATGGTCTTCTGACGTGGGGGTCGTAGTCGTAGTATGGCTAGTCGAGGTGACAGGATCTCACGCGAATCGACAAGATGGACGATTGATGGGTGGACGACAAAGCCAACGCCTCCAACGTTTCGTGATGGAACCTTTTCACCACGAATGACGAGGGCCCCATCACTCATCTCTCGCACATCCTTCTTCCTGGACTTCGTTTCCTGCAGAGCGATGACGTGGTACCTGATGTGCTTTGCAGCGTCGAGAAGAGCGTGGAGGTCGGCGTTTGTGGAGACTGTCCTGGCGTTGTAGGTGCAGAGCATGAGGCAGTATCCATGGCGTGTCGTCCGGGCAGACGTGTCGTTTTTGTCCAATCCGAAAGGTGCCCTGAGTACCCTGACATCGTTCTTGCTACCACCCGGCGCCATAGGTGGGATCCGATGTGCAGGGTTTATTTCTCTTCTCTTTGCTGAACTAGTGATAGAAATTTTTCCCCTACAAAAGCAGACTTACTAGGCCAACTCTTGATTTCCACGGGGCGATCGCTGACCCCGGGCTTGGAGCGGGGAGAACCGCCTAGCGCCCAGAAGAAGCCAGACGGCGGGGGATCTGGCGTGGCCGGCTCTTAGCTAGGCATCCGGCCGAAATCGGAAACGTCGAACACCTTCACAGCTTGGGAGGCCCTACCAAAGTATACACTCGGCTGTGCATCGCAGTTCGACACCCAGTGTCACCCCCACGCCACGATGAGGCGGCCGACCATTGTGGGGGAACATACAACTTCGGCTTTTTAATTGTGCCCTTTCGTTCCTACCCTTGGACGGTTTGGCTTAGGTCCTAGGCTTTCCCAAATCTCATCATTAAAGGCAGCGTCCAGGCAGATCTGAGCTCGACGACCACGCCCACTTCCCTCGGACGGCCAACCCCTTATGAACGAAATCTCCTCAGCCTTGACGTGTTTTCACATGACCAACACAGTCGAAATTACGGCGTTTACCTGTTATACTTGCTTTCGACAAGGATAACATCAGAAGCACTCGTCAGGGTTTTCCCAAAATAGCCCCAAAAGGTGGTTTTCTGAGAAATTTACGCTTTTTGAGTTCCATATTCGGAATCAGCGCCTTGGAAAGGCCTGGATAACATAAAAATATAGAAGTCGAGAATCTGCTTGGACGCTGCCTTTAAGAAAGGATAGTCAGCTGGATCTATTCAGTTTCTTTGTTCGTCCACCCACCTGCCCTGACCGCCACTGGCCACCATTTTTGTTCGGTTTTCGTTTTGCCATTTTTTGAATGTCATAATTTTCAGTTTTTTGGATTTTCCAATAGAATGGCATGCGACAAATACTGTACTATACTGCAGCATGCAATTATTTTATCGCCCTGGGATACACTGCGCTAGCTCTGCTCCCTTCGGGCGCATATGTACAGCTTCGCCAGACTCCCGACCCTCGAACAGGCCACGTGCAGCTGACCATGCGAAAAACGAAGAGTTTACAGCTTTACTCCTACTGTTCGCAGGGACTGCCATTGCGTTTTGTTGATTGTCATAGGGTTGTTTCATACTGCCGCACTGACTGCAGCAGTCTGCACTGACCGCAGCAGACTGCAGCAGACTGCAGCAGACTGCAGCTCACCGCACTGACCGCAACGACCGCAGCGGCTGAAGCCTGCAGGCGGAGAGGATAAATAGTTGTGGTTTAAACAAACAACAACAATATATACGTAAAAGCAAAAGACAACAAGGTTTAGAATGTTACAAAACAGGTATATGCAATGATAGGAAGAATTAGAACAAATACGAACATACCAAAGAAAACTATCGCCAAAATTTGATTAAGAAGAATTCTGATGGAACTTATGATCTTCTTATGCGCAAATCACGCTGTTTTGATAATCGCGGTTTTTTTTTCTTCTAAAAAAAGAGGCTGCGACCGATGCGGTCAGTGTGGTCAGTGCGGTCAGCTGCAGTCAGCTGCAGTCAGCTGCAGTCTGCTGCAGTTTGCTGCACTCAGACACTCGCACCGGCCGGCGACCGTCCGACGACGGCCTTCCGGCCGGCGGCCGCTCTTTAAATCTGGGCGGAGCCAAATACCGGCCGGCGACCGCTCCAAAACATCATACCGGCCGGCGGCCGCTCTATTGTGCAAAAACGCGCGAGCTGCACAAAATCGCCTCTACAGTGCATTAGATGTCGAAGTAATTTCGACATCTAGTGCATGAGACAGTTTCGACATCTTCACCTCAGGATATGGAAACCAATCCAGATTTGGAACTTGTTTGTTGCTCTTTTCTCCTACGATGAAATTGCTTACTTACCGTCATATTTCTAGTGTGCAACTCGCGTTCTTGCGTAATTTACGCTGTTGATCTTTTACTTATCTTGTAATTACAGATTCGCATAGTGATGTTGTCAGGCTGGCGCGCGTTCGAATGCGTGATAATGATACATGGAAGTAAGTTAATGTATACTTTGGAGATGTGTGTATCAACAAATTACTTTCAGAAGTGTTCGAGCTAAGAATCCGCGAGCCTCAGTTCGAAATCGAGCATGTTCGACCACTTCTAGAGGCCGGTGAACGAGGGAGAGGTAATCTAATCTTGATCACTCTTAGTATACATTTTACATAGTTTCACTGTAGACTGTGCTTGTGGGGTTGCCCAACATCGAATCCAGCCGAGCAGAAGCAGGACCGTCAAGGGCAATTGCAGGTAGGTTGCACGTTTTCTATTCAAAATATCATGCTTCTGTGAGTCCGCTATCGAGTATAGGCGCCTTTTGCCGGTCGTCCTTTTTCCGAAACCTTTGAATGCTTTCCTCGATAGTGGATTCACTCCTCCTCAACCCTCATATGCATTGTTCGATCAATCTAAATCTCTTTGTGAGTGTTTTTGCAAATCTTTCTCTTTCTCTCATCTCCTGTTTCCAAATCAAAATGAGGGGCTTTTTGCAAACTCTGCCCCTCAATGATCTCTTGTCTTTTCTCTGGATATCCTTAGCAGGAACCCAATAGGTAGCAGTTTAGCGCTGCAATAATGCCTTATTGTGGACTTATGGTAGTTTACGGCGTTTGAATACTTTCTAAACATGCTTTTTACTTTATATCTGATTGCTATGGTAAAAACCATAATTTGTGAGCAGAAGTGCCACTACCAGCACCTTTGTATTGCGCTAGCCCATTCTAAGGGAACGAGACTTAAGCATTTGCACACGCGGCAAGCATTTTTTGTCTCAGAGTGGATGATGTATGGGAACACTATTGTACTCGTATCGTAGGCACTTCTACAAACCTGCTCAACCTTGTTAACCTTCTACAATCCCTACTTAGGGTTACGTATCATACGAATATTTTTTCGTGTGTCCATCACAGCCGCCAGTTTACCATTTCGATCCGTTATCTTTGTGCTGCGAGCTCTATTGCGGCGTCGAAAGAAAAACATTCGCCCGTCATCGCTTGCCACGCATGCCATGCGAAGGAAATGTGAAAAAGTAATGAAAAGCGTAGTGACAACTTTTATAGAAACTTATACGTATATTTTAGACATGGAAAACGAGAACGCAAGCGATCAACTTCGACGAGGACTAGAACAGGCAGTAGCACCACAGCAAGTCGAAAACGCCGCCGAGGCAGAAGAAGGAGAAGTTGAACAAGAAGAAGACATCCTTTTTTTTTGAGGAACCTCGACCACATGAAGGCGAAGACGTGCTAGAAATACTCGATGACTTAGAAGAAGACGAAGAAGAAGCAGAAGAACAGAATGAGAGAATGCAACGAGAGCTTCACACTCAATCTCTCCAAACGCAACAAGCCATAAGTGATCTACGCATGCTCATTGAAGAACTGAGCGCCCGACATGCGCTCCACGGTGTTCAGTACGGAGTCATCCGCCGAGAAAATGAAAGACATTTGCGCTGCGCCTTCTGTGACGCCGCCGGCCAGCACTACTCGGACTCCTGCCCCCAGGTCCGGGACGCGGAATCAAGGAGGCGTATTTTGGACTCGGAGCGACGCTGCTACAGGTGCTTCAAGGTCCTGCTGATCGTTTGTCCTGGGGGAGGATGTGTAGAAAATGGGCCAACCCGTGCTATTATTGCCGAACCTATGGACATCATTCCGCGGTGTGTGAACTCCCAGAAAGAAGCGAGGTAGTACGGGCACGCTTGGAACGCGCACGGGAAGCCCTCCACTCCGCTGAAAACAAACTCGAGCGCCTCCGCGAGGAACTACGAATGTTCCTGGAAAACTGAGGTGGGACGGGAGTATCGCGGCAACGCGATTTTCTCCAAAGCTGGAGCCGATTTTCTCCAAAGCCGGAACTGCATCAAAGAGTGGAATCTGGACGCCCCTTCACCATTCGCCAAGGTAGGTGCTCGCTGTTTCTCTTTCAGTCTAAGTGGCATCACTGTTAAGGTCTGTTTTAACGATTTGATGCTTGGCTACGATTTCCAGGGAAGAAAGAGCGAGACTCTTACGCAGAAATTCATTTGCCTCTATCGTTTCCTGCTGCAGCAAGTGAGTCAGTAGTCGGTCAATTTGCTGTCCATACGCTTTTTTTAGATCACCGACCCTCCCTATAGAATTCAAGAATTCTCAGTGCGAAAGCACGGTAAAGGAGGGAGAAATCAGGCGCTGAAAAATCTGCCTCGTCCAGTGGAAACTTTTTTGTGGGTAAGAATCAGCACTTCTTGACCCACCCAGATGTATTATATTTCAGATTTTGTAACAGACTTGATCGGTTACGGGGACGAGGATGCAAGGTCGGGCGATCGGTTGGCGGAGAAGATGTTTTATCGCACCGACTTGTTCAAAGCTCTGCAAATTGCTTTGTAAGTACTTTTACGTTGATATCCTGTTGGTGCTGTACACTTTCTTTTAGACGCGACGTCAGGAACTATCGATACGATGATGAGGAAGAAAGATTCATACCCAGCAACGTAAGTTTCCATACATTCGCTATTTTCTCAAAAGGAATCACCTCTTTTCAGACAAAGGGCAAGCGAGTGCGCGTATCCGATACCTCCCAGGGAATTGAAGAGGGAAACGAAAACGTTTCTCCCCGTCACAAACGAAAACGTCTCTCCCCGTCAGCAGCGTCAGTGATGCACTTTTCTCTTCCTGTAAAATTGTGTATCTGTTCATACAGCTTTTTTGAATTTTACTCCGCATGTATGTATTTTCTCTTCTGTATCTTCCCCCACATAATCTTTGTATCTCATCTCCTGCCTTATATGTACTTTTTTTTCTGTTTCTTTTTTGAACTTGCTTCTGCGCGGCCTTGGCACGGTTTTCCATGTTGGCAACTTTTTGGACAGCGAAGGTTTTTCCAACATAACATGAGGCGGATAACATTTTTGGATAATGTGCTCAAAATTACCTCTTTATATATCCAGAAACAGACTAAGACAGCGAAGTTCAAAAACGACTGCAAAATTCTGTGACTGCACTTGCGAAAACCGTGCCGAATTTGTTCTCATTTTTTATATCCAGAAATATCCTAAATTCCACTTTCGATTCTCATTGCATCCCAGGGCTCCAAAAATATCCTAACTCCATTTTCGATTCCCATTCCATGCAGGGGCGTCCTTGGTGATAATAATTTTCTTTGCCTTTACGTTGTATCTCTTATATGACATTTTATCTCACTCATGATCTAGAAGTTTTTTCCTCAATTTATCCCATATTTTGCCATATTTTTGCCATATATTGCAATAATCATTGAGTGAAAATCTTCTGTAATCGATTTAATAATCCAATAAACTTTAGTGTAGACGATTTCTGCACAAAATCACGATAAAAGTGAATAGAGATGGATGACTACAAAAACAGTAGAAAGCGTGCTCCATTAGCTGTCTTTTATTGGAATCACACCTCTACCTGCCGGTAATCGCGCGACCTAGAATATGAGAAAAAACGCGCTCTGTTATCGGTCTGTTGCGCCGCTACCCGATATACACCGGCTGGCGGCCGTACCTTTCCGGCTGGCGGCCGTACCTTTCCGGCCGGCGGCCGTCCGAATACCGGCCGGCGGGCGTAGACTACGCGGCTGAGTGAAATGACATGTGGTCCCGCCAGCCGGTCTTTGTGCGGCCGCCGGCCGGTGCGAGTGTCTGAGCAGTCTGCTGCAGTCAGCTGCTCTGCTGCAGTCAGCTGCAGTCTGCTGCAGTCTGCTGCAGTCAGTGCGGCAGTCTGAACAACCCATAGCCGCTTTCTATAACGTTTGGCGTGAGGTTCCTGATGCAAAGCCTTGTACCATTGCACATTTGGGTGGGTTGATGTTATGAAGAAGCATGATTGGCAAACCAACTTTTAGATCAAGGCTGTGAGGTGGTATCTCATCGGGCTCGAGTGAATTCAAAAACTCAGTGGGGAAGTAAACAGCCTGTTCACGTTGAATCATCTATCAACAATTGTGTACGTTGATACTGGTCCGGGTAGGCTATTTAGTGGCTACTTAGAGCATTGATAGAATTCACTTGCTTATTTTCTGGATGAACTGCTCGCTCGCAATCCAATCCCCATTGCTAAAGTTGGTGAAAATGCTTGGGAAGACCTTATCGATCAGCTATCACCGAATGAACTATTGCAGAAGTCTGGAGGAAAGTGATTCAGCCAAAACTAGGTTTAACCGGAGTTCTGCCTTCCAAGAAGCGCTAACAACACGTCGCAATGAACGTTCATTGTCAGACCGCCAAAGCTTACACCCCGCTGACCCCTGTTGACCCGTACCATCCCGCTTTACTGCAGGTTGAGATGGTACGGGTTCGGCCACCCAAACAGCAATGGCCGAACATTGTCAGTTTTTATTCGCATTGTATTTTGGTCATAATAAATATGTTGGTGTAGAATTGTACCACTGTATTAAGACGCAGTGCTGTGCGAAAGCTAAAGTTTTAAGAAAGATTTACTGAGGTAGGGGAACGAACTCCGCCAGTTTGAGCCCGCCTTCGCTGGCTACTGGTCACTTTGCTATATTGTTGCATATCGTTGCAGGACGAGTAGTCCGCGGAGGCAGTTCAAACTGGCGGAGTTCGTTCCCCTCTCCGAAATACTGTGGCTCAATGCCATTTCGTTGCGCCACTGTCGCATGCCGTCTGGCCACCGTGCGGGTACCGGCTGGTGTCCTGCCGGCGACCGGCTCGGCTGAAATACGTTGTTCCAGACGGTCGTCGCGCGGTCGCCGGCCAGTCCAAGTGTCTGAGAAGTTTTTCAACGTATGATGCGACTTCTTGGGATTAAAAGGTTCGGCGATCGTGAATGCTAGTATTACTTATCATACTCACTCCTCAAAAGCATAAACGAAAAGGGCGCAATGTTGTGCGCCGATTATCGTTGCACACTGCGGCGAGCCGTTCGTGCTTGGTCTGTCTGCCATCGATCGATGCACGCGCGGACCAGACTGCGCGAATACTCGGGCGCTGCCGGCTGCACTACTCACTGTTTCCCATTTTATGTATCTAGATGCCCAGGTAAGTGTACTATTTGCCTGTGATAAGTGATATTCAGATGATATTATGATTCATTTCAGGTCAAAGAATGTGAACTCGTCGCAGAAAAACTGCATAAAGGGCTTGAATTGGAAAGACAAAGAAAGCGAATTTTTGATCAAGTTGTTTGTTGACAACTATGACACTTACTACCCAAAATTCACAAGTGGTAAGTCCTTTTGAAATGCATCGTCGAGTTTGTCGGTATATCTTTGGACTATTTATCTTCTAGCGGAAGTGCAAAAGCTCGCGCATCACCACTTTGTAGAAAGATGTGATGTTTTGGTCATTTCTTGTTTTAGAGTAGTTTGCATCGTGTGTGAGATAAACACTCTAGATTTGACTGTGCTGTTCCGTTAATTTGTTTGTGTCAAAAAAAGTTGGTCCGAAGCACTGATTGTTATTGCAACAAGTTATATGAAAACTTCTGCATCTGATATTCTACTTGGGGTGGTGTTGTAGCTGCCCATAATTCGGATCGATCGAATCTGGATTAGGTCAGAATACAGATATCTCAGGTGACAGGCACAAAGCGGAAGCGAAGGAGCGCTACGTTTGCGATTAGCGTCCCATTCGAATCCGGGTCTTCAAATTATAGGGTATTTTGAATACACTTTGGATTAGCACATGTATGACATCCACCGCTATATCTAAAAGGAGATTACTTGATGTATCAATTCTTGTTGAATGTTCTTTGCTCAGAGTCTTTAAATCCTGTCTCTTACTAGCAACTCAAAAGATCTCATTGAATTGACAAACGGTTAAATAACGACGGACACGGGTACTCTGCACTACTGAAAATTCTTAAGATCCAAAACTGGGTATAGCCAATCGTGATGCACTACACGAAGATTGGGCCGCACAGGTGACAATGCTAGGATTTTCCGAGCGCTCCGCCATTCAAGTAGCTGTAAAAATCAAGAAAAGCATCATGGTCACTAGGAAGTTCATAAATCAAAATGCAAGTTTTCAATATGGTTCCACCTTGTACGAGAGTATTAAAGGATTAAGAATACTTATAGGGCACGGACACTGCTGGACGAAAGTACAAATTACCGCGATATCTCAAACCACTTGAAAAGAAACTACGCGAAGAGTACCTTGAACTCAACGACGATTCTGCCTTTGATATCATAGATGGTATGCGTTATTTTACTTTTTTGATAAATAACCGATCAGAATTCGCTTCAAGCTGACGATTCTGTGATGCTGTTCGACCTCTTAGACGACGTCAAGGACGAAACTGTAAGTTCTGGAGAAGGATGTGCGGAAGAAGATGAGTTAGACCTTGAATCGGCTCCATCTGGAAAAGTTGAGGTAATCGTAGTTTTATTTTGGCTCGTTTGTTAGTAACCTGTCGAGAACAATTAGTCTTTTCATACTTCTCGAAGCCATCTGCTTTATACATGCGCTCTATGCGTCTACAATTTCGCTAACAGGGTTGAATGTTGCGCGTTTAGTGAATCACATCTTTGGGGATATATTGGGCAGGTAATGCAGTCATATGTGACACAGCAGCTTCCATTCAGCGCACTCACATCTGCTTTTGTATCCTTGTGAAGATTTATGGCGGGTGTGGCACTTTTTTTGAATGCATGGCGAAAATGCTCGGGCCTGAGCACTTTGCTTTCGTGATTTCTTGTGAGGATTAGCTTGGAGAACTCAAAGCCGATATTGTGGTTTCTATCGAAGGTCCGCAAAGGTGATGAATGCGTCGGTATCATTTGGCAGAATCCCCTAGCAACGACTTGTCGCACCATATACAGCGACAGAAGGAAAAGTCTTGTCCTTTGTCACGGGTCTCGGTGGGATGGTGGCTAGACAGTCAGGGACCTGTCAGACTCCACCCAAAAGCGCCAGGACGCCCCTTTCACGAGCGCGACTTTTGGCGCTGGAGCGTTAGTTTTGGAAACATGTTCTGTACTCCAACAACTGCAACCATTCATATTTATCTTGACACATGCTCCGATTACATTCAACGTCGGTATAAGCTTCACCATAAAGCTCTTCTTGCCATTTAACTTTTACTTCTTAGATTACACCTAAGTCTTTTCACCGTCGGGAGGCAGCTACCTGTACAACTTACATTAATGTCGTTCATATTCATTGCTCGCACTTGAGGGCAGTGTCCGGGCAGATTTGTGATCCCTGATTTCGAGCTTTTCTGAAACGAACTCTCCATGCAAACTATTAACCGACTTTGAGCGCAGTTACTGCTTGTGGAGCCAGAAAACAGGTTCGAAAGTGTAAACAGACCCCCCCCCCCCCACCTTGGATTCATATCGTCCTTACCAAGAAGGATCAGGACATGGATATTGCGACCTGCCATTGGCTGCAGTGGCGTGTCCCGGCGCGATGTGATTTGGTAGGGACACTGAATCGGGTGAAGGACTTATGTCGTCGAATTTGGAAGAGTCCCGCGCGGATTCCCTCTGCAGGAACGCATGTCCGCGCATGTATAAGGGTGCGTATTTGTCGCAAATGATCGCGGGGACCGCCCTTTTTCGGCGACATATACAGGGTGTCCCAAAAAAATGTATCGAACGTTTGATCGTTAATATCTCTCTTCCCAAGAAGTCTTTTGCCTTGCTTCAGGTACCAGTCTGTAGAGCTGGCTTCAACTTAGATTTGCATTATAGAACAAATCACCCATCTCTCTTCATTACTGTAGGATTACGGTAGAAACTTCAAAGAGGGTTTTAAGCAATGAAGGGCCGTATTTTGCCTCAGAAAGGAAACAAAACAGCCTGAAAGCTTTTACACTAGGCTAATCAAAGTCGCTGATTATAACTGTAAAGTTTCCAACTTATTATGATGCTTCATTGAAGAGTTATGCCGGGTAAGAGGTAGCGGCCATTTTTTCAATTTTCCTAAAAAGTGCGATTACACCGTTTAGAAAGCTTCGTAATCTTGTGAATAGTTGAGTATTGAACTCAGCGTCCACAAAAACCCTATTACACAAGTTTTTACGTTTTTTTTGAAAAATTTTGAAACGGCAGCTTTTTCCACATTGACACCGTATGTTTCAAGTTTCTACCGTAATCCTACAGTAATGAAGAGAGATGGGCGATTCGTTCTATGATGCAAATCTAAGTTGAAGCCAGCTCTACAAAACAGTACTTGAAGCAAGGCAAAAGACTTCTTGGGAAGAGAGATATTAACGATCAAACGTTCGATACATTTTTTTGGGACACCTTGTAGTCCTCTACCCTACTGAATCGAGGGGCGGGTAATAAAAGAAGCAGGGGGTAATAATAGAAGCAGCTCGCGCATGTTTGGATGCAACTCCTTTGACAAAAAACCACAGTCTGCAGTTGATAAATTTTCCATCTATTGATGGGTAAAATTCATGCGTGAGCATATACAGTCGAGTAAATTTTACGCTTGACATAGTGTGCTTGTACTGTATAGGGCTTATCAAACGCAGTGTCGCTTGCATCAGCATCTCTACTCCTGCGCTCGACCCTGCATCTCTCCGTGAACATGTTCTCTAATCACTTCCAATCGACTGAGGCTCCGCCTTTCTCACGCTCGCCCTGGGAAAATGATCAGAGAGCATGTCCGCGGAAGAGGCCTTTAACGCATTTTACCTACAGTGCAAGCACACTATATTAAGCGGAAAATCTACTCGACTGTAGCTATGGCTGTAATGCAGTCACTTGTGCACACAAATGCCTCACCACACCACAAGCACACTCTATTGAGCGGAAAGTTTGACCGAATAAGTAAATCACCTCTAAGAAATTTGAGAGTGGGTGCGCTAACAATATTCTTAAATCTAGGATCCAATCGAGCAAACGATATCAATGGTTGCCGCCCCGCATGTCGATGCACCGGTGGCACCGGTGCAACCGTACAATCCTGTCATTCCGACACCGAATATGATGAGCAAGCGTAAAAGGTCTGCTAACTTTTTTTCTACACATACCATTTGATTCAACTGGCTTGGCATCGGCAAAGGCGGGGCTTCGTGACCTAATTAAGGCTAGGTAATGATCAGAGAGCACTCGCGCAAGAGAGACGCAAGTGCGTCGCGGGCGCGAGCGGCCTCAATTAGATCACAAAACCCTCCCTAATGTTGCCAAGCCAGTTGAAACCGCTTCTGAAACAAGGAAATCTTGGCAATGTTCCGGTATGGCTGCCCCTTCATTCAGTCTCGTCTTCACTGAGGCAGGAAATCGTGCAAAGAACGGCAGTTGCGACGCTGTCATTGGTCGTTCTACTGGGTAAGGGGAACGGCCTGTCGGTGTTCGCGGTGTTGTCGGGGTCAGAGACAGTTTAGAGAGCGCGAAAAGTGGAGGCCATCATGGGGTTCTACAACGACCGACAACCTCGGCAACCCCGACAACACCGACAACCTGTGGCCGTTCCCTAAGGCAGGGTTCATACTGAGCCGCACAAGGGGGCACAGTTCCAGCGCAGCGCTCGAACTGTGCCCGAACTGTGCTGCATGCGCAGTTGGAGTATTTTGACCGTTTCTGATGGTTTTTCTTCTAGGTTTCGCTCATTTCGGGCCTTATTCCTCAACCCCGCTTTGCGCTCGGAGTTCTACTCATCAAAAGGAAAAGCGGGGTGGAGGAATAAGGCCCGAAATGAGCGAAACCTAGAAGAAAAACCATCAGAAACGGTCAAAATACTCCAACTGCGCATGCAGCACAGTTCGGCCACAGTTTGAGCGCTGTGCTGGAACTGTGCCGCTTTGTGCGGCTCAGTATGAACCCTGCCCAAGGACGAGAGTGAATGTCGGTGGCTATATCGACACTTCGAAGTGACTCGCTTCAGAAGTAGTATTTCTCAGTCGTAAGTGCTATAGCTTGCGGCAGCCTGCCTTATGAACTCGTTGGAGTTTAAGGTGTTCCTGAACTGCCCGGACGCATATGAAAGCAGTGTTCGGTCAAAACTGAAGTGTTAGTAAACTCGCTTGGCGGGGTTACCCGCAGCGCTGTCTCCGAAAGTCCACCGAGGGCTGCGTTTATGCATACCTAAGTCCTGGCACGGTTCCAGTACAGCGTTCGGCGGTGCAACCGCCCGCTTGCAGTTTCAAGAGGTGGTATGTAGCAATTTTCGACTGTTGTCTAGGTTTTTCATTGTGAACTTTGCTTGTGTCCCAATCTTGTGGTTGCTTCCTCTTGTGATGAAGATCCAAACTTGTACGAACTTTGAGGATGAACGCTTTTCTGTATCGCTTGTGATGTGAAAGCCGTATTCAATCTTGCTCGTCCGTCCTCCTCCATACTTTTTTTTTGTCGCAAATCCTTTTGTGGTTCAGAAAGTCGCTACGGTCTCAATAGCCAGCTGTTTTCAAATAGGAGTGATATGTACAGTCGAATAGATTCAGCGGTAAATATAGTGTGCTTGCACAGAAGGTGAAATGCGGTAAAATTGGCGCGTGAAGAAATAGCTCCGACTGTGACGCCGGCCAATTGCGCGCGCAAAATACCCGCAGTAGTGGCGTGGCTATATACTTGTTCACGCGCAAATTTCACCGCATTTCACCTTCTTTGCAAGCACACTATATTTACCGCTAAATCTACTCGACTGTACAATCATTGCGATAGCGGGGATTGCAATTTTTGCTTGTTTTGATAACCAGGAATTTTTGGGCGTTTCAGGCCCATTTTAGTTTACGAATACACAGCTCCCTCATTCGTTCATGGATACTGCGCTAAAAAAGACATCCAGATTTGGAGCAATGTACAAGAATGGCGGCGGCTTTGGTTTGATATGAAGCAAAAAACATTCTTTCGTGCACTTTGCTCCAAATTTAAAACTTCCTTCATCACAGGAAAAAGCGAAGAAGAACGAACGATGAGAACGAGCAGTATTGACAGTGAAAGCTGTTACAAACACTTAAAAAAAATTATTTTACGACGCTCAGTACTGCATGTGGGAGCTGAAGCGCATGCAGCGCTGCTTAGGCACAGTTTGAGCGCTGTGCTGGATCTGTGCCGATCCTGATCAGTATGAACGCAACCCCTGTTGCTTGCCACATGTGTACACTGCCGCAGAGCAGAAAATCCACAGGTGGGCGAGGCTCTCCACGTGGAGTAAGTTCACCTCCCCATTTCCCGGCCTTGTACCTTCTCTTGCTTTTGATGAAGCGTTATGCCCTCACATTTGCCCTAACCCTATGGCTGTCCCAGAAGGTCCACATTTGCAGGCACTGAAACCACAAAACTTTGCCCGCACACTGCTTCTAATAAGGGAAGGATACTTGGTCGAAGTGGGTTTTCCATATGAAATCTATACGTCTTATAGAGCATGGAACGCTGATTCCAAATCTGCTTTCCTTATCTACAAAGCGCTTCTTGGAGAGGAGTTCTGGGATTTTTTATTGGTAAAAATTCAATGGTTTGGCTAAGGTAAAAACAGGTGTTGAGATCTTTCCGGCGCTTGAAAGGAGTAATGACCGACAAGAGTTTATCAGATTGAAGTTAGTATTGCATAGAACTCCAGTAGTGATCATAGCCCCACTCGAGCTCATAGACTGCACTTTAGATGATTTTATTGAAGCCGCGCGTTCGAATTTTTGCTCCAAGAAATTTCCTAACTTCTCTCCCAGAAGCGCTTTGCAGATATGGAAAGCAGATTCGGAATTAGCGTCTCTATAAGACAGTATACATTTCATAATGAAACGCCACTTCGACCAAGTATCCTTCCCTTATAAGCTGTGCTTGTTCAGCCTTTTGACTTTCCATACTTCAGGCGCGCCGAAGAGGAATTGGATGAACTTACGATGAAGAAGCACCGGCTATTGGATTCAGAGTTGGAACTTGTAGAGCGGAAGCGATATTTAACGGAAATGAAAATCACATATTGGGAGCAGAAAATGAAAAAGGATTTGAACTGTAGTATGATGAGTTTCCGAATGTGATCGAAGCTTTTGACACACTTTTGCTTTTATACAGAGAATCTGTAGCGAATTTAGACTCTTATTCTTTCCTCTGGTGCACAACCAACTTAGTCACAATACTAGATGATTGTGGTACCTCTTTTTTGATGTGTATGGCCAAAGTCGGGTTTTCTTTTCGTTTATGGAGCAGGTTTCTGATTCGTGCACTTTCTGCTTGAATTGTTTGTTCCATTGCACATCTTCCTTCGAATTGGACCGTTCACTTCATAAACTGAATATCATCGCAGCCGCACAATGGCTCGGGAAATTTTTCATCTTGTTGTTTGTGACATAGGCGAAGCTGGAGCTATGACACAATGAGTGGCTAATTTTCCACATCATATGTACACCGTTTCATTCCCGACCCCTTCGCTAATTATCGAGAATTTCATTACGTTTACGGCAGTGGCGTACTTAGGGTTTCCGTTCGGGGGAAAGGGGGGGGGGGATAAAAAAATTTTTGCTGATGAAGGTGCTCCGGAAAATTTCTTGAGATGCTTCTCAAAATTTTGCGGGAGTCATTAGGCGTCGTTAACCCCATTCAAAAAAAAAGGTGCGCGGCAGCTTCGCCCCCGGAATTCTTTTCTACAAGGCTAATTTGGATTATGAAAACTTTTAAAAAATTATTTTAATCATTTGCAAGTTAAAAGAAGTGGCTTGCACGTTTTTATAACATTTTTAAGTAACTTTCAAAAATTCCGACTCATTTCCTGCCCCCCTCCCCCCCCCCCCACCTCCCGTCCCCTCCCCTCGGTACGCAACTGCCGTAAACGTAATAAAATACGGGTATCTGTAATTTTTGATCTGCTATCTGTTTATACGCAGTATAAAAGTTATTACCACGTATGTAAAGTTTTTGCTAGATCGTCTGGTCTGAGCCAGTAATAACGAGATCAGGCAGCCATGCTTATTGCGTTCGTGATTTTTATCTCTACTCCGCGTTTTTCCTGCTAACTGTGTCAGCTGTATTAAGCAGGAACTTACTCATAAAGTGAGTGCCTCTCTGATGAATCTAGGTGATTCTAGCCGTTTGTAATATTTAGAGCAGTGTTTCACTAAAATTTACTTGTGGGTTTGCATACACAAACCTTTTCTGACTCTCTCTAGCCTCACGCGCTCATTTTTCTCTGTGTAGAGGATTTAAATCATGTCGAATTTGTTGCAATCGCCTACTTGGTGGACCCTATATAGTGGATATTATGGAGTGACCGTAGATTGACCTTAGGCAGTTCCCAGAATCAATTGGTTCAGTCGGTTCATCCATTCCTTATTGGTCCATTCAGTGATTTGACCAACAACGAAAGGGTGAACCGCATAAATCGTTTGAACCGGATAAGTCTGGCCCCTACCTTAGGTAGGCGCCAAACTAACCGATTGTCTGCTTCAGCAAGACGCGGCGCATTTACTGTCATTTGATGTCACGTTGTAGGAAAATCAAGTCGGCTGCGCGATTCATCAACAAAATTTTTTTACTGGGTAAGGCCTTTCTATCATTCTCTAATTCTGCGAGGTTTTTTTTTTTACATCTCTTCGAAACCACTGTTGTTGCGAGTATCGCAGACGAAACTTCGATCTTCCTGCAACGACGCCAAATGACTTCAGCTCAATAATTGCGCATGTAAGCAGGCAATCGGTTAGTCTGGCGCCTACCTTAGACACCTGCCATACTTGACTTGATCTGCTTGATCCGCTTGATCTACTTCGTGCAAAACGCGCACACACAACAACTTGCCATTTGGCTCCGCGTAGACAAGGAATTTTCGGCGCTATTCCTTATTAGTTGACGCGCGCAGCGTAGGTAATGAATTTTCGGCGCTATTCCCCATTAGTACTGCAAAATCGCGTCGCGGCTTAAAGCGTAAACTATGCCCGACTTCTAAGGCCCTCGGCATACCTCACACGATACAGTCGCGACTAGATTTGGCAATATTCCAATTGTTCATAACTCATCGTAAGGAGTTTCTGAATGTACGGAAGGTAGGGCATTTTAACCTACGAAAGTTATACATGCTTGCATTTGGGGTCTGCAGTATTGAATTTGAAGACATGTAGCAAATTGCCAGATAGCGTGGCGACTGATTGCGTGAGGTACAGTCGCTTCATTTCATATGATCATGTGTGCTTTGCACACACAGTCCACTTTGGCGTCCTCATCCTGGATTTGCATTCGCAAAAACGCAAGAGATTTACCGATTGTTATCGATTACATCAATTTGAGGTGATTAATAACTAAAAAGGAAAGAAAATGCTAAGAACAGAAATGCTTGGAAACACTTACCTGAAGGCTTGCTTCTCCCACGAATCCATGATGAGGACGCCAAAGGTGAACTGTGTGTGCAATGACACACATGATCATATGAAATGAAGCGACTGTATGCCCACGGCCTAAGGCCCCGGTCAGACTTCACGCGACTTAATCGTCGCGACCAAATCGCCAAGATTTCCATTCATTTTCGTTTCACATTCAAAAATTTCGGTCTGGAAAAGTATCACAACCGAATGCAAGTTGATCTACATGGAATGTTGTTGTAACAGTTGTCTCCTCGCGATTCAGTCGCGACGATCAAATCGCGTGAAGTCTGCCCGGGGCCTAAGGCGGATATCCGGGATTAGCGCGTCCGACTACCTCAACTGCTTGATCCACTTCATGCACTTCGCTATTGGTCAGTTCGTTGACCAATAGCGAGGTGGATGAAGCCTATCGAATATGACGTATGCCTTACACCATAACCTTCTTTGTTTGTGTGATTGCAGACACTATCTCTATGCGCGAAACGAAAAAATGACTGTGATCAGGTGGGATTCCTGCTGGGCGCTTATGTAGACATATATAGGTGAATTGAAGGTCTTTAAATGTAGAAGTTATGTTCGTCAAGAACTGCTTCAGATCGGCAACATGGACCCCGCGCTAGTGGAAAAGCGCAAGAAAGGCATCTGGTGCTCAGAAGAAATTGATCTTCTGCTCAAGTTGTTGATAGACAACTATGACACCTATTTTTTCAACTTCTCCAGTGGTGAGTCCATAGAATAAGCAAGGCACTACGTCTGATATCTAAGTTGCTAGTGCCATGTAAGATCATAGTTGATATCATAACTCAACATCAAAGGCAGCGTCCCGGCAAACCTTATTTTGAAGATTTCTCGCTCATTTGTGCTTAACCATCTCGCTAATTCCGACTGTACTGTTTGTAGAGCGTGAAGACGTCGAGAATGGGTTTTTCCGAAGCTTAATGTTCAGATTTCAATGTGAGCACGCGGAGCGCGCTAGCATCGAGACGCAGAGTCGCTGTGGGACTGCGATCATGACTGTACGCTAAACGCGCTTTAGCCTTGCAATCCGAAGGGCGGCGTCTCAACCTACAGAAGAATCGGGCCACTTTCGAGGAAAATTCTGGGCTTAGTAGACTCTCTTTCTCGCTCCAAAATTCATTCATCACTTAGATAGGGGTCTAACGGCACTCACTTTACTGGGACGCTGCCTCTATTAAGCACTAGCTTACCGGCTCCGCCCGGCCCTGTCAAACAGTATGATAAAGGTTCAATTCCTGTCCCTGTACAACCTTTCCATGTGCCCATTTCTACATGCCAAATTGCTAATCCCGCTGTGTTAGTAATCAGCATGCTCACTTATACCCCTGTGCCAATTACCAGCCCCGTAGCCCAAACTTTGCAAAAAAAAATAAAAAGCAATGCACAATTTTAAAAACTAAAATCGTATTCATAAGCTGCTGCTGCAGCTTGCTCGATTGCCTCCCTGTGCCAACCCCAGCGCCCCGTAGCTCAAACTTGCAAAAAATCGATAAAATCGATAAAGCTAACAGATGAAAAACTAATATTGTATTCGTAATCAGCATGCTCGATTACCTCCCTTTGCCAACTCTCAACCCCATTGCTCAAACTTTGCAGAAAAATCGACAAAATCGGTAGAAGTAGTCGACGATTACAAAGACTAATATTGTATTAGTAATCAGCATGCTCGATTATCCCCTATGCCAACTCCCAGTCCCGCAGGTCAAACTTTACAAATAAATCGATAAAATCGATATCGATCGATAACAAAAAGTAGCCTACGACACCCGCCCCGCCCCGACGGGTATGTGTGCCAAGTTTGGTTCGGATCGGTTTAGAAATGGAATTTTTTATTCGGAACATAACATCGGCTCCCCGATTGCCGCGAGGGCGGACTCGAGCGGCGTGTCAGCGATGCGGTTACCCTGTGTTCAAACATGGCTGATAAATTGATTATCGGTTGACCATCTGTATGTCTGTCTGTCTGTCTGTACGTACAGACAGACAGACATACAGACAAACAGACGTTCAGCTTTATATATGAGAAGATGAAAGTGAAGTGCTTATTTTCTTTATAGAGTGTTCAAAGTTTACGTACAGTCGCTTCATTTCATACGATCATGTGTGCCATTGCACACACAGTCCACTTTGGCGTCCTCATCCTGGATTCGCAATCGCAAAAACGCAAGAGATTTACCGATTGTTATCGATTACATCAATTTGAGGTGATTAATAACTAAAAAGGAAAGAAAATGCTAGGAACACCTTGGAAACACTTACCTGAAGGCTTGCTTCTCCCACGAATCCATGATGAGGACGCCAAAGGTGAACTGTGTGTGCAATGACACACATGATCATATGAACTGAAGCGACTGTAATTGACCAACTTGTGTGGTGTCACCTCATTTCAGCTTGATGTGAAGATGACTTTCATCTTAGATCACAGGCATAGTTGACGAGATCTCACTGCCTCGCGGTTCTCCCAACAAGACAACTGTTACGAGTCCGTTGCATGCTGGTCCTCATGCATTTCGGTTGTGATAGCTCTTCGAATGGCTGGTCGTGACTATAGTCGTTATAGTTATAACCAGGGTCAAGCAAGGGTGTGACACACGATCGCTGGTTACGATCTCCCCCCCCCCCTCCCCCCTGATTGCTGTCTTGACACGTTTCGGACCGCTAACTGCGTGCGGCGAAAAAGAGTGCACTTTCAGCCATTGACCAATGAAGGGACCTTATTTCGTAGACTGTGTGCTACATCTGTAATCAGCTTGTCGGATAAGTTCCGTACCCAAGGTTCTGTGTGGATTCGATGTGTTTAAAGGCAGCGTCCAGGCAGATCTCGACCTATGGGGCTTTTACGTGGAAAGTACTTTTGGGGCCTTAACTCTAAGTCACTGCCCAAGCGGCAGCTCAGGTAGTGCTGTAATGGCTGAGATATCCGCCTCGAAACTGGACCCCGCGACCGTGTTTCGCATGGATTATGGCGTAAAGCGTGGATCCTAGCGCGAAACTGCCATGAATCCATGCGAATGCGTTCGCGGGGGCCAGTTTCGAGGGGAATATCTCAGCCATTAGAGCACTACCTGAGCTGCCACTTGGGCAGTGCCTTACTTAGGGCCCCAAAAGTACTTTCCACGTAAAAACCCCCATAGGTCCAGATCTGCCTGGACGCTGCCTTTGAATTTTGTCGCTTGTGAAGGATTCCTGTGCTTTTCTGAAAGAGGAACAAGAACTCAGTTTCTAATAGTATCCAAAAGTATTTATGTCGTAGACGGTACACATCAGTATTGAAACTACGGTTTTTCTCTTTGATATCAAAGCAAAGAGAAGTTGCGATGTTGCACGCGTCGTTCGCGTTGCCGCACTTCGTTGCAACTACTGTTCGATTTGTGCTCGTATCTTCTAAACAGATATTGGCGGCACAAATCTGCAGAGTCAGTTGAAAAATAGAATTAGGCCTTTGACTTGATAACCTTGGACTGAGAAAACCTCCTGTAAATGTCGGGGAGATCCTTCAGAACAGGTGTCTTGGGTATATATTTCAGGGGGGAGGGTCTTATTAACACGTTTCGGACCGGTGCTGCACCATGTGCAGCACCGGTCCGAAACGTGTTAATAAGACCCTCCCCCTGAAATATATACCCGAGATAGCATTACATGAAGGCCCTGTCAAACATAATGGGCAACATATCCATAATGAGCATGTCTAACCTCTGTAGACAAGATTTGAGCGTGTTCTGAAGATTCAAAATACTAGGCTACCTAAGTGAAATGGTCATTTTCCAACATGATTAACTTTGTTCCAAAGATGAAGTAGCTAGCTGTTTTTGCACTCAGACAAAGCACTACTCCTTCTTTGTCCATCTCAGAAATCCCGCTGTAAAAGACCTCCAAACTGTGGAATTAGAAGCCAACCAAAATCTCATTTTTCCCATTTTTCGCTTTTAAGGCTGTGCTTTCACCAACTATTACTCAGAGCAAAGAGAACGAATCAGGCTCAAATCACTCCTGTGAAAACTAGAAGATCTAGGCTATCGTTTCATATAGCTACACTTCGCTAAAAATGCTTTTATGACATAGTTAGTGCGGTGTGGCACACCCCCTTGAAAGCTTTGGATGCTACAGCTCTTTAGGGGTGGTGCCACACCCCATTAAGTATATCAAAAAACATTTTTAGCGAACATTGTTTTTATGAATCGGTAGCCTAGACCTCGTATATTTCATAGAAATGATTTGAGCTTGATTCGTTTTCTTAGCTCTGAGTATCATCTGGTGAAAGCACAGCCATTAAAAGCGAAAAATGGGAAAAATGAGATTTGGGTTGGCTTCTAATTCCACAGTTTGGAGGTCGTTTATGGAGGGATTTCGAGGTGGACAGAAAAGGAGTAGTGCTCTGTCTTGAGTGCAAAAACAGCTAGCTACTTCATCTTTGGAACAAAGTTAATCATGTTGGAAATGACCATTTCACTTAGGTAGCTAGTATCTTGAATCTTCAGAATTCGCTCAAACTTTGTCTACAGGGGTTAATTGACATGCTAATTATGGATATGATACGAATGTCATGTTATCACTATTATCAGATTACCCAACTACGACCCCTCCCCTTCTGACTCCTCAATACGACCCCCAGGTGTGGCGTGCCACACCCCACGCTTGACCCTGGTTATAACTACTAGTGAACCATTGATTGAAGGTGCTAGATTGCATCAGCGCGCTTCGGAACCGCACCGCGGTTTCCCGCTATTTGCAGACTTTTGAATTGCGCCTACGTTTCTTTATATATTAGACAACCGAAATACAAGGTAATCCACATGCAATCAACTTGTATCTTGTCGGGAGATTTGCGAGGCGACGAAACCGCGTTAACTATTTCAGTGAGTTTTATTGGCTGACGTCGACGTTTCGGCGATTTACGCCTTCTTCGGTGCCTGGAAAGACGAAGTCATGAGTGTCTATCTATTGTTCTATTCCTGGCTGACGCCTGAGTGGATGGACACTTATGACTTCGCTTTCCAGGCACCGAAGAAGGCGTAGATCGCCACGTCGGCGTCAGCCAATAAAAGTTACATACCAATCTTGGTCAAGCTCAGCAATCTCATCGAAAAGTGCCTAGAACAATGCCAAGATTCAAGGAAAGCCGAACCTTCACCATACGCGTTAAGTATGTCCGAGGCCTTAGGCCTTGGGCATACCTCGCGCGATTTCGGTGCGCATTACCATTTCTATTCTATTTCGCATTTCTAGCTTTCGTAGGTTGATAAAATGCCCTGTCTTCCCAATGAAGAACCCCTTACGATGAGTTATTAACAGTTGGAATACTGCCAAATCGCGTCGTGACTGAAATCGCATTAGTCTACTTCTCGGAGAGAAGCAAAGAACATAAGTCTCATACATATGGATATTATCATTCACATTCACCATTCACTTTCCATAACAGTCTCAGACAAATGACCGGAACTTTCGCAGAGCGCTTGTGGAAGTTCCGCCGGGTCACCTGCGGAAGTTCCGTGAATGTGCTGCGGAAGTTCCGTAAACATGCTGCAGAAGTTCCGAAATGAGGTCCTGCGGAGGTTCTGAAGAATGCCAACCACAACAGCAAAAGAGAATACCGAAGCAAGATTTGAACCTCACTCTATTGACTGTGAGACCCATACTATCCTCTACGCTACGGCTAACATGTTCTATAATGCACTTTAGTTGTTGGCGAGGCAACATCACGAGACAGCACATTCAAAGTCCTGCGGAAGTTCTGGCGGGCCAAAGTGCTGCGAAACTTCTGGCATTTTTCGGAATTTCCGCAGGATTTTGAAGAAGGTCCTGCGTAGGTCCCGGTTTTCAACCAGTTTGGCATGAAAATGCCGCGGAAGTTCCGATTTTCAACGATTTCACTTTTGCAATAGTGAACAAAATCTTGCGGAACTTCTACAAATTTGGTTTGTGCTGCGGAAGTTCCGGTGATTTGTCTGTGGTCATGATCTTTGTTGGAGGAATCTAATGTTGCGTAAATCTAATTGTAATAAGTCCACAAAATGCTACCGGAGAGTTTCGCTTTGGTAGTCATTTTCTAGAACGAACCTTTCAGACAAGATCCTATCAGGAATGATTTTTCTTCGATCAATTTATTCGAGTATTATTCTGCTATAGTAGTATAGTAGTATATGTATGTAAAAAAAGTTTTAACTTTGAAGTGAAGTTACATGGGAAGTTGGGCTGAATAAAATAAATTATAGATCCTGAACACGGTTTGAAAGTCATACAAGATACGTTGCACGAAGATTGGGCCGCACAGATAACAAAGCTGGGATTCTCCGAACGTAATGCGTTTCAAGTAGCCGACAAACTTAAAAGATGCCTCACGATCACGAAGAAGTATATAAGCAACAAGGTAAGTGTTCACTGTAATGTAAGCTGACCATTTGTGGGAAAAGCGTTTCAGGGTGAGGGTGCTGCTGGACAAAGGTATCATTTTCCATCGTATCTCAGGCCTCTCGAGAGAAAAGTGCGCGAAGAATACCTTAAGCATCGCGTAGATGCCACGTTCGATGAAGCTGGTTATCTGGATCCCGAATTTGAAATTAATCCGTCTGCAAGAGCTGAGGTAGTCGAATGGTAGCTAAATGCACCATGTCTGATTAGATTGGATAAGTCAAAAAATTAAACTCAAAGGCAGCGTCCAGGCAAATCTGGGCATATGGGGATCTACGTGGATAGTAATTTTGGGACCCCAATTAAGCCACTGCCCAACCGGCAGCTCAGGTAGTGCTCTAACGGCTGAGATATTCCCCTAGAAACTGGATCCCAAGATCGTATTTGCGTGGGTTCATGGCGCAACCCATCACTTTCGCGTGGGTTCTCGCGAGAAACTGGTGGGTCGCTATGAATCTATGCGAAATATGATCCTGGGGTCCAGTTTTGAGGGGAATATCTCAGCCGTTAGAGCACTACCTGAGCTGCCGGTTGGGCAATGGCTTTGTTAGGGCCCCAAAATTACTATCCACGTAGATTCCCATAGGTCCAGATTTGCCTAGACGCTGCCTTTGAGTAGCTGTTCTTATCCACCATGTATGAGGTTTTCTGGCATATATTCAGCATTTTCCACCCTTTTTCTGGCTCTGTTCATTGAAAACGTTAGCAACTATGCTTGCTTTCATGCTCAAAGTCAATCAGAAACAATGATCGGTACAGAAATGTGCTTCTCATGAGCGTCATGTTTTTCTTCTCAGGATTTGCTCGGACAGGACATGTCGGGTGGCCCTGCTCCTCATACTTATGCTTCAGTGGCCTCAGTACTGCCGTTCACCGCTGGTATCCCAGCTTCACATGCGATGGGGTGTAAAAGGCAAGCTTATTTGCGTTTTCAATCAGCGTAGTCTGAGCCTCCTAAGTTCGGGTACAGGTGTGGGTTCGTTCCGATCCTGACAAAACTGAATTTGACTGGGTTGATGACATCATAACCAAATCAAATATTTCAGACCTTTCGAAGAGGACAACGACTATTTCTTCAAGAAACGCCGACTACTGGATGCAAAACGGAAGCTCAAAGAGCGAAAACGCTATTTAAAAGAGATGAAAATTAAGTACTGGGAGCAGAAAATGAAGAACGAGTTAAACTGCATAAACATGAGTTTTCAAAAGTAATGCCAGAATTACAATCAATCCATTCGACTTTTTGTGTGTTTTGGCCGTGATTTTCTTACCTCATTCCACTGTGCTGAATACATACTAAATACAATTCGTTGTCGTCGACTCTCAGCTTCAGATTGAACGAATCTCGGCAAGGCCGCTCTCACAAAGGAAAGATCCCCAATTGCAATAACATAGTGGAATAAATAGATGTCATTATACACAAATTATACGAGTTAGCTAATTTAGTCATTCATTTGAAGTTCGCGTGACGTCCATGAATATGTAAACATTTGTGCAATTGCCAAATTGCGCGGGGCTGTGTGACCGTATCGCTCGGGTATGACGGGCCTAAGGCACCTGCCATACTTGTCCTCTCGATCCGCTTGATCCGCTTTGGGCAAAACGCGCGCACAAGGCAGTTTGTCATTTGGTGCCGCGTAGGAAAAAGAGATTTTGCATGGTTACGTAAAGTCGCTGTACGCGACGCGAAATGACAAAAGCGCGTTTTGCACGGGGTGTGGTGCGGAAGGCGACAATCCTCAAATTTTGTGCCTCTCAAAACTCGTCGGTGTTAAAGTGGCACGGGGCAAAGGTACGGGGTGGGGGGTGGGGGCAGATACATGACTCGATGCCATCAGTGAAATTCTGTAAAAGTTAGTAAGAGCGATTTTACACTGCTTGCATTTTCCGCATATTGTCGCCTTCCGCGTGCCCTTCTTTTGCACGAAGCGGATCAAGAGGATCAAACATGGCGGGTGCCTAAGTGTCCATCGGCCGTGTTTATAACGAATCGTAGGTCAGCCTCCCTAGTGTGTAATGAGTTAGTGGGTTAGTTTACCCAGTGCCGTATTTATTAATGAATCCAGTGGGTTAGTCTACCACTGCGTAGGCTAACCCACTGGCTTGTGTGGTGATATGACCACATGTGAACGTGTCCTTTACGCGAAGCTAGTAACCAGTGTGCGCGCAGTTTTGATGCGGCTGAACCTGTTCTGAACCGGCTTATGGGTTAGGTATGGCGCCTGCTATACCATTACTTATGGCATCCAGTCTCGTTGTTTCACTTGGATACTATCAGTTGTTTCGTTTTGGCGTGCTATTGATGTATGTGTAATACATAGTGTGCTTTAAAGACCTCATTCGTAATTATAATGTTTCGATAGCCTGTTATTTTTTCACATCAGAATCATAAATGTTTATACCAGCTATGGAACGATTTGAGGGGGAATGACTTTTATAATCAGAGTAATACATCGGAAGTTTTTCCTGCAAGTATCTTATAGCGTCAGCAGGATTTTATTTTTTATTTTTCTCTTTCCTCTCTGTCTTATGAAGTTGCTTTAGCAAGCGCAGTGATTGGATCTCAAGTTCCAACAATGGTTTTGTTAATTCATTCCTCGCTCTTTGAATGCGTTTCGGTAACTTATAAAGATCATAAACACCTAGTATAGGAGCCTGGGATCTTCTTGCAATTTTTGTTGGCCCAGGGCGCGGCTGCCGCCACCCCCCGAAGTTTTTAATGCTAATCTGAATTGAAATTATTTACAAATTAGTGGGTCCGCCCAGCCCTGTCAATAATTCGTAATTAGCACGCTCATATACCCCTGTGCCAACTCGGACAGACATTCAGCTTCCCATGCAAGATTTTTATTAAGTTTCAAAGTCACTTACACATTTTTACAGCTCATGTAAGTTAACTCCCAAAATGTCCAAAAACTAACCATTTCGAGTATTCCCGCCTTTACTTTCAGTACTCTTCCGACGCTCCCCATCTTCTTTTCTGCCCCTGCTTCAGACCTGCGCTCAAAATTTTTGTGGTAGCCGCGGTATTTTTTCTCCTTATGGCTGCATCTTTTCGTAGCAACGCAACTTTTTCACCGCAATATGAATGATTTTTACCGCCTTGTTAAAGGCAGCGTCCAGGCATCTGGACTTTTGGAGATTTTACGTGGAAAGTAATTTTGGGGCCATAACTAAGGCATCGCCCAAGCGGAAGCGCAGTTGACTGACTAGCGGCTGAGACATACGCCTCCAAACTGGACCCCGGATCGCTTGCATGGATTTATGGCAGCCTCGTGCGCGGACCCACGCGTTGCGCCATTCCATGCGAAATACGATCCTGGGGTCCAGTTTCGAGGGGAATGTCTCAGCCGTTAGAACACCATTTGAGCTGCCGGTTGGGCATTGGCTTAGTTAGAACCCCAAAATTACTATCCACCTGAGATCCCCGTGTGTCCAGTCTCAGCTGGACGCTGCCCCTTTGACAAGACTAAAATGCTTGGTTGAAGCATGATAAGCTTTCATTTTCCAAAACGTAAGTAGACTAACTAGTGGACCTGTAATTAAAGGTGCTAGATTGCATTCGCGCGCTGAGACCGCCATGCGCTTTCCCGCTATTTGCACATTTTTGAATTGCGCTTACGTTTCTTTATACATTAGATTAATGATTGAAAGAAGGACCCGGTGAACTGCCACGAAAATTATGAGGAAGCCGCAGCGTTCGCCCGCGACTTCTCCATATCACTGGACTTCGCTTTCTTCGCGCAAGATGTTGATACAAGCAGGTCCTAGTTAGCGTCTCGCCACAATTGCCGATTTGCATGCTTGCTATGTTAAATAAAAATGTGCAGTTGCAGACGTGATGGAGGGCAAGGCAGCAAAATTGGAAGCTCAGATAGGCGCTCAACTAGCCGATTGCCTGCTTTAAAGGCAGCGGCTCAGCAAATCTCAACCTAGTCAAATTTGCGCTTACCTGGGGTTTTTCAACACGCTGATCCCGGAAATCCACTTTTGAAAGCTTGAAAACGGCGAAAATGAGCGTTTTTTAATGTCCTTCCCTTTGCAACTGTAGGAATGGAGCAAGGTCGATGACGCTAAATCGTGGCAGGACCCAATGGTTATAGCGTTGTGGCGGGCAGCCTCCAATGGTGAGAAGGAAATTGCCAACTCGTTTAGATGCGTGTAAGATTGGCCTGCGCAGGTAAATTTGAGAGCGATTTTCTCGGCAGGGAAAGCATGCTGTGCAACTGGGATTGCGCTGTTTTCATACTTGGGTGATAAGGAACCTACCGCGTTAAAATCCCGAGTTGTTGGATTTTGCCGATCCACTGCCTTTGAGGCACCCGCCATACTTACCCCTCTTGCTCCGCTTGATCCGCTTAATCCGCTTGATCTGCTTGATCCGTTTGATCCGCTTGCTCCGCTTCTTGCAGGACGCGTGTAAAACGTGCGCACTGAGCAGTCTGTCATTTGGCGCCGCGTAGGTAAAAAGCAATCTCGTATGGTTGAGCAAATTCGCTGTACGTGGCGCCAAATGACAGACTGCTGTGCGCGCGCGTTTTGCACGCGTCCTGCAAGAAGCGGATCAAGCGGATCAAGCGGATTAAGCGGATCAAGCGGATCAAGAGGGGTAAGTATGGCGGGTGCCTGACAGGGCGCGGTACTAGTAGACTGATGTCATTTGGGGTCACGTTGGATGGAAATCGAAGTGGCGTCTGCTATGTTCACAACAATAGTAGTTCTAGAGCGGTAATAAGAGTGCCTAGCAGTATTAGAGAATGATGAAAATGGCCTTACCATTAGAAGAATTTTTGTTGTAGAGAAATCGCGGACGCCAATTTAATTTTCGTCCTACATGACACTAAATGACAGTAATCGCGCCGCATCTTGTTGAAGCAGCTAATCGGCTAAGTCTGGCGCCTATCTCAGGCAACCGCAAGCGTACGCGCTCCATACCATATATTTACTCCATCTCTCGGCTGTTTCTCTACGGCAGGCGTTACACTTATCCTCTTCAGCCATTCAAGCTTCAATATATATGCGGGTCAATCCGCAGTGAACAATGTTCCGTTTCGAACCGGTTCGGGGTTGAGTATGATGCCTGCTTGGATTTAGTGCGCGCAGCATCCGAACCATGCTTTTGAAGTCCTCTACTTGAGGGCAATCATCTATGCTTTTTGTTACTTGGGCTTAGCAGGTTCAAGTGTACTATTTTTGCTTCTCTTCAATAATCCTGCTGGTTTATTAGGTTTTGTCCTTGCCCATTCTGTTATTAATCACAATTGCTATGACGCGAAGAAGTGCCATCAAGCGGACTTATACACCTGAGAATGGCCATACCCTGGAAGCAAATGCTGGAACGCATTCTCCCGACAGTGAAGGAGAAGAATTCATCGACGTCGAAACTGTTGGATCTGGTCAGGTATCTCATTTTTCTCTTCATCTCTCATTAAGAACCGCATGCTCTAATATCGCCGCTGGGGAGGGGACTGCGGGTTAAAAGAAACATGCCCTGAAGCATTAGAAGTCCGGATTCCACGCTGTCTAACTGTCCTATCCGTAAGCATTCTGTCACCCTTCACAATGAACATATTGAACAGGGACGAGAAGCTGTATAAGCCGCATCAGCTTTCCGTATGATCCACTGATGAACTCCAGCTGCCGACCGTTTTTTCTTTAAAGGCGCGTCCAGGCAAGTCTGGACACATGGGATCTCACGTGGATAGTAATTCTGGGGCCGTAACTAAGCCACTGCCCAACATGCAGCTCAGGTAGTGCTCTAACCGCTGTGGTATTCCCCTCGAAACTGGACCCCGGGATCGTATTTCGCATCTATTCATGGCGCGAAGTGGGGGGCGCGAATCTGCCATGAATCCATGCGAATGCGATCCTGGGGTCCAGTTTGGAGACGCATATCTCAGCCGTTAGTGAGACACCTCCGCTGCCGCTTGGGCAGTGTCTTAGTTAGGGCCCAGAATTACTTTCCACGTAAAATCCCCATAGGTTCAGATCTGCCTGGACGCTGCCTTCAAAGTCGTTTTTCTTTTTTTTTGGAAATCAATAAAAACATTCAAAAGTTGTGCTGTTTATCTAACCCAACAGTGCTAATCACGTTCCTGGTAGAAACAAGTGATGATGTTCCGAGGTCATGAAATTTGCGATGAGCCACGAATCGCAAGTCGAGGTTTACCGAAAAGATCGATATTCCAAATCGTTTGTCCTTATCAGCAGCATGCTTAGCACTGTTAGGTTAGATAATCAGTACAACTTTGGAAGGCTTCCGTTAACTTAGGAAAAAGGAAAATGGCTTTGAAGAAAAGACGGTCGGCCGCGGAGGATCACCAGGGGACAATACTAAGAGCTGGGAAATGCGGTTTGTAAGGTCGAATAGGCTTACAGTGAAGTGTGGTGGGAATACTTACAAATTAAACAGCGTGAAATTCATGTATCTGGAGCTTCAGGATACGAAGCTTTCTTCTGAAACTGTCATACCCTCCCCTGCGAGGATGTTAATGCATGCGCCCCCTAAGGCCTCGGACAGAGTTACGCGATTTGATCGTCGCGATTTAATCGCTACAAGACAATTGTAATAATATCATTGCATGCCGATCTTCTTTCATTTCGGTTGTGATACTTTTCCAGCTCGAAATTCTTGAATGTAACATCGGGCATACTTCACGCGATTTCAGTCGCGACGCGATTTGGCAATACACCAACTGCGTATAACTCATATAGAGCATGCGAAATGTACAGAAGATAGGGCATTCTATCAATTCACAAAAATTAGGTATACACGTCATGCATTGGATGCCTTCCAACGTTGGATTTGAAGAGATCTGGCGAACTGCCAGAGAGTGTGGCAACTGAAATCGCGTGAAGTATGCCCGAGGCCTAAAATGAAAGTGAATAAAATTGCGTCGGGACGAACAAATCGCGTGAACTCTGTCCAAGGCCTAAGTCTTTCATTCTTCTCTTTGAAGATCGAATGTCAAAAATTATAAAAGTGGTAGCTCGCTGATGCAATTCTATTTTTTGTACAGTCTACTTGTAGGTTCGAGTTACACACCACAATGTAGCGCCTACAACGTCACTTGCCTCACGAGGTGAGCGTCTTTCGATTTCCGTCATTTTTCAACTTACTATGATATAAGGTCGGTTGATAAGTCTTGTCAATCTTTTGAAATGACCAGCAAGTCCCGCGCAGTAAAGATAAACTAACAATTCAAGCTGTATTCAATGCAAAATTTCTTCCGCTTTTCAGCTGCCATACCCCACTGTGATTCGTTGAAAGAGTGCTGAGAGAGTTGATGGACATTGAAACCCTTCGTCCACCATGTCTGATTTTCGCTAATTTTTCGTATTTTTGAGGCTTGTGGAGAGCTTTGATAGCGAGCAGGTAGTGCAAACTTTCTGCCACTTGATGCAATTTTTTGTAGACTGTGCCTTGCCCTCTAGAGTCGTTAAAATATAATCTTTGAGGTAACTAAATTTCGTATTCGAGATTATGTTCGATTAACAAAGTTTTAATTCGATTTATGTCTTTAATCCCGTAGAACGCGAATTGGTAAACAGTTCAGATAACAGTTCATCCGTGCAACTTCTCCTCTTTTTAACGGTTGTCTCTTCTTGGCGAGACACGACAACTTTAATCTCACGAGTGGACACTTTAAAAACTTTTTTGAAGCGATGACTCATTTACTTTGTAGGGTTGAGATTAGTGATAATCGAATTTTGAAACGTCAGTTATCTGAAGATTTTGCTGTTGGTGCAGTAGCAGGTTATGCGATTTTCAAAACTCAAGGCTCTTGGAAAATTACTCAAAAGAAAAGTCAGGTAAACTAGATTTGCGTTGTCAGATGAGACATATATATTTGGGATCAGCTTCGAACGCTCATTCCGAATATGCTATTCCTAGCTGCGGCCCATCATTCTGAAGCGAGTTATTGTTTTTAGTGCGAGAATTGCAAGCTTATCTGACTTGCTGGGGTCACTGTACTAACATTTAAGCGCTAATACACTATGTTAAGTTCTTTGTTAGCTGATTGATCGTACCTAATGATACTGCAGAACTTTCGGGAGGCTTTCTATGTACTCAGACATGTGTCGGCGCTCACGGTAGGCTGGGAAAACCAACCTGCCGTGCTGGTCGTCGCAAACCCACGCCTGGGCTGGTCCTGTCATGCTAGCGCCGGCCAGCAAGGGTTCCAGTGTATGCGACGATCCTGTGGACGAACGGGCCAGCCTGTATTTCAGTGCTGGTCCGCGCTAACATAGCAGGCTCACCAGGGATAGTTTTTCACTCCGCTCCATATGCACACGCGGGTTACGAATCTGGATACACTTACATAAAATCAAAAATAGTGAAAAGCGTCCCATTCAGATCAACAATCGCATATACCGGACTATTCGCTCTGTCAACGTTCAACGTAGGAATCTAGTTTATTAATTGCAGAAAGCAAGTGTTGTGGCCGCCATTTCACACCCATGGGCCGCTACTGGGCCTAATGCATGTAACGCTGGGTTAGGTGCCGCAGCTCAGCAACAAAACCCAGTTGAGAGTCGAGCCGCTGCAGCTATTGCCTGAGTGAGGCATTCTTTCCGTGTTGACTGATACTCCAAATTTGCACATAAATCAATACTCGCTTCTGAGTAATGTGCCGCAACTAGAATTTTCGTCTAAAATAAGCGTTCAAAGCTGCTAACTTTATGTGTTTCATCATAAAACGCGAATCTAAGTTACCTCCTTCTTAGCAAAATTCCAGAATAATAGCTGAGAAAAGAAGAAGATTTGCTTCCATCGGCAAAAAGTTTGCCCTGCCTGGTGGCTACTGAAGAAACCCCCTCAAACGTCACAGATAAAAACTTTGAAGATAGGCAAAAGTTGGACATGGTGAAAACGAAAGTTGTTTTTTAACGATTAGTTGGCCTTCCAATGAATCACGCTAAGAATATAGCAGCTGGAAAGAGGAAGAAATTCTACATTGAATGTAACTTGGAATGTACGTGCGTTTATCTTTACTCTACCGCTGGTGGATTTGAAAAACTAGCAAAATTTTCTGCACCGACTCAATATATCTCAGTGAGCAGTTGATCATATGAACTCTTCATTGGCTGAGTTAGTTCTGTGCGTATCTTAGTGGTTTGGCTGTTAACTGATTCTCTTACAAGAAGTGATGAAACTCACAATTAAGCTTTGAGATCTACGGCTTTTTCACATGCAATTTAGTGCTTTTGCAACAAAAGGAGGAATTTTTTGTCCTAATGGATTGCTTATTACATCTTTTGATTATCCATCTATAAATTCCAGAAACGACTATTCCTCGAAGAGTATCATCACGTCAGGTTTCTTCGAAATTTCGGACGTTACTTGCATCAGTTCCAGTGAGATCAACGCCAAAGATAACGCTTGTAGGTCGAGGTAAGTCCTGAAAATACTCTTGACTCATCTTCATATCTAATTCTCTTAGCGCTTATTTATCGAAAGCATTTAGGTAGGCCGGAAAGCGCAAATCGAATCGCTATGAAGCGGCCAAATGAACAGTGCGAACAGACTCCAGACGATCGCTTGACGACGCCCCCAAAACGCGCACCTATACTTGCAGTGAGTATCTGAATGGTAGCTGAGGACTTTCCCATATATCTATTCATGGCACGCAAATTCTGAGCGCCGTTGCGTCCGGCCAAGATAGTTCTTGCATGGGAGAGACCAGAGATGGTAAGAGAAATGAAAGAACGCTCGATTAAAGAGGCGCCGATATGTCCGCAGTCTTTGCGTGCTATGAATCGCCTGTAAGTGATTTTGATCATCTGCTGCGGTTTAGGCAGTTTGTCTTGTATTGCACTAGGCTTTCAGAATTTGTTTGTTTGGTTTCTGGTTTATGAAAAGTTGTACCATGTCGTTCACAGCGGCGCTGCGTAGAATATTCAAGGTTTTTGCTCATTTACATTTCCACCTTTAGAACGAAGGAATTGGAACTTATGCCATACCGAAGCTACCTCTCGAAGAAATGACGATGTCGACAAGGGTATGTGTGAATTCTGAATTTATTTCTTTTCCATTCATAGACTGTGTAAAACCATTACTTACTTTGGTATTTTGCTTGCTCTTTTTTATGTGTTTTCTCCCTTTCACGAATTTTCATGACTAGATATTCAGTTTTCCTTTTCTAGTAAACAGCGCTGCACTTCCTTTTACCTTCTCTTTTCCGGATCAAATGTCTCATCCTTCTATGTATTCCCTAGTTGTCGTGTCTGGAGATCTCATCTTTCTAGCTTTCTAGATTATTTGTAAGTTTTGGTCCTTCGGGCTATACAAGAAGATCACACTTTAGCGAAAATTCACGGTGATTTGGAAGATGAGGTTGAACCGCGCTCTGAGTTATCGACAGACAGTAGGTGTCTACTGCACTTATGTTATTATATGCTAATCACTTTATTATTAGAAGAGAGCAAGTCAGTCACTCCTATAAGCGCGGAGCCGTCATCTTCCTCTGATGATGTGCCAGCAGCTATCCCACATGAGAAGGTGAGTCTCCGGAGCATGACGTATTTATTTCCTCCTTAATTTCATGCGCTTTAGTCTGATTCTTCCTCTCTTCTTACCTGTGCGCAACCACATTGTTTTTTGACATTCAACTGCTTGGATGACTTAATTTCTCATCTAGTTGAATTTCATTGTCAGCAACAGTTCAGACCGCGAAGGATGACCTTCGTCAGCGTGGAGAAATACGAAGTAGGAAGATTTTGAAAGCGTTAGAAAGTGCGCACGAGCTCTTAAACATAAGTGAATGTACTTTAGGTTTGGAAGACAGCGCATGAAAAGGCACAGGATGCTAAAATGATTGTTGGTAATAGGGAAGACTGTGATGGTCGGTTCTTTGCTTAGTTGAATTAATTTGTTTTCTCTTTACATCACCAATCCTTTACAGGTACTGTCAGGTTCCATTGTTGTTGTGAGTACTGCCACCCACTAAGGCAACAGCTGGATGAATTAGAACGCCAAGAGAATGGGAAATCTTTTCGCGTGAAATCAACATGTCCAGCGCATTACGTTCTTTCGCTCAATTACGAGAAAAAGTGAGTTAACTTGCTTCGAGAACAGTTGTCTATCCAATTCTTTCTTAGCACTGCAACCATTTTTGGATGTTTGGCTCATATCGGTCATCCGAAAAAGCCTAAAACAACGAGTGCTGCCGATTTGCCGCAGAAGTTGTTAAAAACAGCTCAGGTTAGCTTCCAAAGCTATTTATTTTTTTTATTTGATGTCCTTTCTATTTACACTCATCTACTTCAGACTTTCTTTTTTTCATTCTTCCGACTCCCATGTATTCCATTATTCTGTTATTTACTCGTCTACGAAGATTCCATACTTGTTCTCAGTCTCGTTTTGGAAAAAGTGTCTATCCTTTATAAATTCCAAGTTGCGATTTTTTATTTTTTACGAGAGCCCAAGACGCGGAAAATAGATTCTGTCACCTCAAGAAAACCGTCGTTGTCTCGCATGCAATAGTTAAAGCATTATGTTCGTTTCCATAAGATTTGCAGGCAGATAGTTAGTGTAGCAGTGTGCGTTATAACCAGCGCAATCCTGAGTGGTCCATGTACTGTTCTCAAATATTAAGATTGATCTGAAGTCATTAGCTCTGCTGTTAGGTGTAGAACAAAGGCCAGTAATATCGTGCAATTATTTCAATTATCCGTTTCAAGGCAAAATGTAAATATTGTGGTAAATGGTGCGTTTCGAGAGTGGCCATGAATCGCCACGTAAGGGACCAACATGCCGAACCATCCTATACTAAGTGAGGTTCATATTCTTTGAGAGTCGTAAATGTTATGTGAGACAGGTTATATGGCTTATTGCAGAGGCACTACTATTGAATGTGGCGACCCGGATTGTGATGTGGTTTGTGATCGCATGTCTACTCTTTGCGAGCATGTTGCTCAGGAACACGGTCGCGAAGATCTGGTGATAGAAGAATTCAAGTTTCCCAACGTATCTAGATTCAAGGTGAAAAGCTCTGCAGTCGAAAGTAATCCATCGGTATCAACAACGTTTCATCCAGGAATGGAAAAACCAAATTGAAACGGAGACGGTGTCGAAATTTGTGCTTTCTTCAAGTCGTGCCCGAGCAAGCGGTGTATTACAGTCGTAGGTTACCGTAGGAACATGTGTTTTTCGTCTTGCCATGCTGGAGTTTTGTTGCAGTTACTTCCTTTGCCATCTGAGTGGTTATGCTAATAGATCACGTCATTCTGCTCCACCCATCGGGCGGATGAGGACGACAAAGAAAATGGGACGCTACTGCACTGCATTCATGAATACAAAGGAGTTCAAGGATGGGTTCGTGGATTTGCTATGATCTATGTATTGCATAACTTTCATTGAACATCGTTTTTTTCCAATCTCTAAACACCGTAAATTCATTGAAGGGGACAATGAGCGGGCATCCTTATCTATCTCATCGCCTTTACCGTCGTACCTATAAGAAGAACTCTGGTTACAAACTGTAACTAACTCGAATATGCTTTCATTTTGAGCAGACCTCTGTTTGCGCAACAGTGTGCCAAAGCCAATTGCGTGGCCGCACCCCGCACGGCGCTCTTGACTTCCGTTTTTCAACAAATTGCATAGGTAGAAGGCTGAGAATACAAAGATTTCATTTCAAGGTTTTTTAGGGCGGTCGTGGTACAGTGTTGCCTCGGGCATTTCGGACATGGATTTGATGTGCGACGCCTACCACTTCCTGACAAAGTGAAGGATGATGTTACCGATTTGTTGATGAAAGGAGCCTCTACTCAAGAGATATATGATGCTGTGCGAAGTGTGTCTTTGAAGACGGGTTTGCTTGAATCAGTAACATCTTTTACTTTGTTAATTGTGCGATTAAATCGGTTGTCACAAGACACAGTCCTCTTAGAACTTGGTCTAGGGTGTCCGTGCTTGAAGTAATGAGTATTAGTGGTAGTGCTCAATGGCAGTCACTGGATTCCCGTGAGGGGGAATGGTTGAAGCGGGAAAAATTTTTTCAAGTGCGATACGTGGGGTTAGGCTCGCACTACGAAAAGTTTTGAAGTGCTTCTCAAAATTTTTGCGGTCCCATAAATTCTAAAATTCAGAACAAGAGGGCGTGGCAGTAATCACGCACTCGGAAAAAAGTTTGCAAGAGAATTTGAATTTTGCGTTACCAGCGCATAATTTTTTGGTGTGCTGAAAGTGGGGGTTTTTCGCCTCCCAGCTTCAAATCAAATTCAATTACTGAAAACAGCATGAGTCACTGAATTACAACAGTGTCTTATTTTTGTATAAAATGCTGTGAATTAAGAGATTGGCTAATTCCATGCAGGTCAGTGCAATCAAACTCAACGTCCGTCGTGGGAGGCTACTGCCGCTGATTATTGGCTATAACTTTTTCTCAAGATTATCCCTTAAAATTTTCTGTTCTTTAGGAAGGTATAGTCAGTCAGAGCGAGGATATTATCTACAACGTTATGAAATAAGAAACATAGCCGATAAACTTCGCAAACAAGGACTCTTGCCTCCCAAAGAAACCGAAAAGGTTGGTTTACTTTTTTTGATATCTTAATCGCAATTCGGACGCATTAAGCACAATAACCAGTTTAATGATGGGCACCTCTCACAGATGGCAAAGACGGTAATTCGGTTTCAAACGGAGAGAGTACGCTATACTGGCTTAGTACATTACAGGAGAAGTCTGGGGCATCTGTGCAGCGTGTGAGATTCCAATCCATTCGGAGTCTACCCGAGTGAGTGATTATCCGATAGTTACGGACTGTAATTGCAGGTCATTTTTTTTCTACTAAAACGAAGTACAAGAGTATCGTTTGCAGTCGTCAACCTGGAAGAATATACCAAACAACGTACGGTTCTTCCTATGCTGGATCGCAAAGTGTAGTGGAGCAAAATCATTAGTGAGATCTCTTTTACTTGTGTTCATCAAATCAGTTGGTAGTTCCGATCATGCGTGTGAAAAGGGGGAAATGTGTTCCTACTTCCTTCACTCCTGGGCCTGAACCCAGCTGACCCCCTTCGCACACGACTGGTGAGAAGATGGAAGAAGCGAGACAAAGAAATCAACTTTTTCAAGCAAAATTATAAAACTGTCATTATTAAATTATTAAATTTGAGTTTGGCAACATCTTGATCCATAATATTACTACTATCATCAACTTATTTTGCAAGTTCACTGAGAAGTAGTCGGGAATTTGCCGTTTATTGTTCATTTCTGGAATACGACGAAAAAGCCTAGAGAAAAATTTACGTGCAAAGCCTTCATGTATATATGTAAATGAAGAACTAAGTATTTCCTGACAGTAAGTGAAATAAGTAATGAACTTCGTTCACTGCGTAGTTGTTGCAATTTTTTCAGCGAGGGATAAATTCTTCAAACAGACAGCGAAATCCATAAAGAGTCATTGATTGGTTTCTTAAAGGCAGCGTCCAGCCAAGTCTGAACCTATGGGGATTTTACGTGGAAAGCGCTTTTGGAGCTCTAACTGAGCCACTGCCCAACCGGCAGCTCAGGTAGTGCCCTAACGGCTAAGATATTCCCCTCGAAACTGGACCCCGCGACCGTGTTTCGCATGGATTCATGGCGCAAAGCGTGGATCATGGCGCGAAATTGCCATGAATCCATGCGATTACGTTCGCGGGGGCCAGTTTCGAGGGGAATATCTCAGCCATTAGAGCACTACCTGAGCTGCCGCTTGGGCAGTGCCTTAGTTAGGGCCCCAAAAGTACTTTCCACGGAAATACCCCATAGGTCCAGATCTGCCTGGACGCTGCCTTTAAAGAGTCATTGTTCCAACTTTTGTTATATTTTCCAAGCTCTAACAGGAGATCGTAACGTTTACGTAGAGAGACAGATGCCACCAAGAGCACCTATTACATTGGAGACGTATGTAATTAGGGTCAGTCTTACTGTCAAAATGCTATAGGTACGAGGATCCTGGAGTCTTCGGCAATTTATTAGGTTGTCCGGAAATTGATGCAGGTTTTGAATTCCAACCGCAATAAATCATACACTTCTCATTTCTAAGGCCCGTATGCACGTACATCCCCGCGGGGAGGGGAGGGGATCTGAGAGGGGAAGCGTCATATCTCGCTAGTCTACATATCTTTCTCCTTCTTTCTCTATCTTGCTTATGTAGTTTCTCATACACTGATACCTGCGCATAACGGATGCCAGGTTGTTCCATACAAGATTAGATATTCACTATTTCATCTGATCCCCTGGGGATCCCCAGGGGATCTCCCCACATTTTCAAAGTCATTTATCTTCCTGAAAAACCAATGAAAACGCTGCAAAATTGTACTGAAGATATACCACGATACTGCTGAGCATGTTTTCGACAGAAAAAATGGAATCTGAAAAATTTGATGTTTTCGATAATCCCTGGCTCGCGAGCAGCGGTTCATCGAAAATTTTGATATCTTGAGATTTCACTCATTTCTATTATAAACATGTTTAGCAGTGCTGTAGTATATATTCAGTACAGTTCTAGAGCATTTTCATTGAGTTTTCAGAAAGATAAATGACTTTGAAATTGTGAGGTGATCCCCGGGGATCCCCAGGGGATCAGACGAAATATAGTGAATATCTAATCTTTTATGAAAGTGACCCGGCATGTGCAAGTATCAGTGTATGAGAACCTTCAAAAGCAAGACATAGAAAAAAGAAGAAAGAATTATAGACTAGCGAGATATGACGCTTCCCCTCTCGGGTCCCCTCCCCTCCCCGCGGGGATGTACGTGCATACGGGCCTAAGTAGGTTGCAAAACACCATTCGATAGAACTAAGCAAGCTCTACAAGATGGCTATCTTGTTTTAGCAACAGCTATGATCCACTACGAGTTTCGAGCCAAAAACTAAAAAGATCCAACTGCCCGAAAAATCGAGAAAAATCTTAACTCAGTCCATAAAAATCCTACAAAAATTCTAACTTGCTCACGTAAACATAATCCACATAGGGCATCTATATAAGCCGTTGCCGTATTTTTTCTCCGTTAAAATTCAAGAAAACGGAAATTTTCGTGCATTTGCCAACTGATGCTATGCCATTCCCACGTTGTATACTACAAACCTGTAGAAGTACAAACGTAAATTTTCAGCTCTCTACAAGCTTTATTTCTCGAGAAATTTGAATTTTAGCTTGGACCACATATTAGGGAAAACTGTATTCGATCGGCAAAATCCAACATCTCGGGATTTTAACGCGTTAGGTTCCTTATCGCCCAACTATGAAAACAATGCAATTCCGGTTGCACAGCATGCTTTCCTTGCCGAGTAAATCGCTTTCAAACTTACGGGTTGAGCCAGACTGCGCGGCGTACGCGACGTACGCAGCGTACGCCGCGTATGCTCCTATGATGAAATATACCGAGCTACGCTGCGTACGCCGCGTACGCCGCTTCCCCGCGAAGTCTGGCTTAACCCTACGCGTGCAGGCCAATCTTACACGCATCTGGACGAGTTGGCAATTTCCTTTTCACCATTGGAGGCTGCCCGCCGCAACGCTATAACCATTGGGTCCCGCCACGATTTAGCGTCATCGGCCCTGCTCCACTCGTCCGATAGCAAAGGGAAGGACATTGAAAAACCATTTTCGTCGTTTTCAAGCTTTCAAAAGTGGATTTTCGAGATCAGCATATTGAAAAACCCCAGGTAAGCGCAAATTTGACTAGGTTGAGATTTGCCGAGCCACTGCCTTTAACAACAGTACTTTCGACATTGGACATGGAAAGGTTCGAGAGTTAGAAGCGATCGGTGAAAATTACTCAAGATTTCCAGGCAGGGTCAGAAAAAATCCTGGAGGTATTTTTGTTTGATAGAGGAAATTATACTCTTTATTATAGTTCATTTTCTATGAATTAGAACGAAAAAGATCGAGGGTTATTAGAAGCAAATAAAGAAAATTACTTCAGTTTTGCGATTTTTGAGCATGCTCTAGAAAGCCTAAGAAGTCACAGAAAACGCGGGAAAGTCATGAACATACAGGCTGGTACATGACGAAAGCGCAATTCCTGCAGGCGCAAACGCGGCTTTATTAGCCGCAGAGCGCAGGGGGCGCAGGATTTACAACGGTGGGGACGCGCGCGCCACGTTCGCGCCCGCTCAACTAATACCGTTGTGCGCCTTCGTCATGCAGCAGTTTTCAGGTTTTGTGACTTTCTCTTTCTAGCTGAGTAAAAATCGATGCCGATCGAGATTTTTGAATTTCACGGAAAACGCAGTTCCGAAAGCTCGGAAATATTACGAAAACGAAAATTGCTCTTGATTAGCACGAAACTAGCTAAGCTTGAAAGAAATGGTCACAAAACCTATGTTCATGACTTTCCCGTTTTCTGTGACATTGTTAGGCTTTTTTGAGTATGCTCAATTGCTTGTAACTCGCGATCTTTTTCGTTTTACTTCACGAGAGAGGTACTATACTATACAAACACAATTTTCGTTATCACGTAAAATATTCCAGAATTTTTTGCGAATGCTGAAGAATGCTGTAAGCGGATGTATACTAGACTTAATCAAGCCCTCTCTGCCTTTAGATCATTTTGCAATGCTTTAAACTTTTTACTCCAATTCCCTACGAGTCGTAATGTCCCTCACTTCATATAATTTGTATACAATCGCAAAGTGGTCAGTAGCCTTATCGAGTGCTATCCTTATTTTCGATCTTTGAGCAAATTGGGGGCCTCTGAAATTATCAAGCTCATTAAAGGCAGCGGCTCGGCATATTTTCGACTTGAAGTTTGTTTGCTTACTTGGGGTAATTCGAGGCGCTGATTCCGAAGATCCACCTTGAAGAGTGCGAAAATGGCAAAAACCACCATTTCCCAAAACCTCCAACTTTGTTTGGACGAGTGGAGCACGTCTTGCTATGGTTAGAGCTCTTATATAGTGCTTCAGGTATTTCTGGCTGTCCTTCGTCCTCCATGTCATCGTCCAAGTAGATTGTCGGAATCTCCAGGATCCTCGTAGCATTTTGACAGTAGGACTGACCCTGATTACATATGTCTTCAATGCGATAAGTGCTTCTGGTGGCATCCGCATCTCTATGTAAACGGTACGATTGAAAAAAATTAAAGCAAAATAAATTATAGCAAAAGTAACAATGACTCTTTATGGATTCCGCCATCTGTTTGGAGAATTTATCCCTTGTTGAAAAAAAATTGCAACTTATGCACTGACCAGAGTTCTTTATTATTTCTCTTGTTATTTCAGCATATAGTTGAGTAACTCCATTGAGATATATACACAAAGGCTTTGCACGTGAATTTTTCTCCAGGCTTTTTCGTCGTGTCCTAGAAGTGAACAATAGGCGGCAAATTCTCGACTATTTTTCAGCGAACTTGCAAATAAGTTTTTGATATTTAGTATTGTTTATAAATCAAGATGTTTCTTGGTTCAATTTCAATAATGCCTATAGTTTTAAATTTTTGCTTTAAAATGGTAATGTTTTGATTTTTGAGCCCAAATTGGCTACCCTCATACCCCCCCCCCCTTCACTTTATAGGGGCGGGACCCTACGACCCCCTTCACCCTGGAGAGGCCGTGTTCTCCCTTTGCAGTATGGTTCGGACTGTGAGTTGTGCCGATGGACAGTTTTTTAGAATGACACGTGACGGTGACGCCGCGCAATGGTGTGCGGCACAATAATTTCATTCTGAAGTGGCTAGTTATTCTAATCTGTGTTCTTTTATCAGTTGAGGCCCAGAAGTTCTTCATGTTGGCCGCGCACCCGCTTTTTGGCAAACTCCGCCCGCTCCATTCATTCTAATAGAATTTCTTGTGCTCAACGTCATAAAAGAGATAGCGGATAACCGCGCAAGCGAATTTAACCGCAGATCCGCTGCCAGGCAAGTCCCACCCTCTCAATTGCGAGCTCCACTCTATTCAGGAATTTGCACGAATTCTTTCGTCAAACAGATTGCAGCATTTTTTCCGGGTGGGAGGAACCTTGCCACAAGTGGGCAGGCAGTCCGCCCACTTATATTAGGTTGGTGCAAAAATAATGAGCGTTTTTCAATTTTTCACTTTAACTTGCTATAACTTTCTACAAAATCTACATTTTGAATTGTGATAAAGGCTATCAGATGCAGCGAACCTTTCACAGTACAGCGCATATTAACCTATACTCATCTTATATATAAAGCTGAATGTCTGTTTGTCTGTCTGTCTGTATGTCTGTCTGTATGTCTGTCTGTATGTATGTGTGTACGTATGTTCCGAATACAAATTTTTATTTCTGAACCGATCGGGACCAAACTTGGCACACATATACTTCAGGGCAGGGAGCGTGTCATAGGCTACTTTTCGTTATCGATCGATATCGATTTTATTGATTTTTTGCAAAATTCGAGCTAGAGGGCTGGGATTTGGCAGAGGGGGGTAATCGAGCATGCTGATCACCCCGAAGGGGTGATCAGCATGCTCGATTACCCCCCTGTGCAAAATCCTAGCCCCCTAGCTCAAATTTTGCAAAAAATCGGTAAAATCGACATCGATCGATAACGAAAAGTGGGCTGTGACACGCTCCCTGCCCCGAAGTGTATGTGTGCAAAGTTCGGTCCCAATCGGTTCAGAGATAAAAATTTCTATTCGGAACATACGTACACGGGTCTAGCTGGCAGGCCCGGCGGAGCCGGGCAAGCCAGCTAGTACCTCATATGGGCAGAAAAATATGGATTGAAAAACAAAAAAAAAAATTTTTTTTTGAAGTCTTGCTTTTGATGAGAACACAACTCCTTTCATACTTTGTTGTTCCATTTACAAGCAGCCTATCTTGTAGCCACAAGCCAGTAGTACAAACATACATGGAAACGGTTTGGAGAAAAAAGATTAGCGAAGAGGGAGAAATCGAAATTCAAAAATATCAACTTTTTTAGCATTTTTTCAGTAAACCTCAAAACGTCGAAGTATAGAATTTTCTAATTTTCTGCGTACTGAACATCTGGATGTTTTTGCAAAAACTGCTAATAGGACTCCTACCCTCGCGCTTACAGAAATGAACAAAGTTTGAGCGACTGCATTCTACAAAAGAAAGTTATGGGCTCTAAAATGACCATAACCATTACCCATGTTAAGCCGCCGATATCTCACTTCAGATAGCTTCAAAAAATGTGGTTAATTATGCATAATGTAGACAATTTCCATCACATATAGCGGCTGAATTTTCACTAAACTAACTTCATTCGCGCTCAAATTCTAGCCAGAAAAATGAATGCAACGAAAATCTGGTTTTGAGTGCGATTATTTGAAGCTCTACAAATTCTTAACAGATTGGGCTAAAAGTCCATTTCGAACATCTTAGATAGAGCATGAAAAGAGCTTCCTAACATTATGCGGAAACCGTTACAAAGAAAAAAGCTTGATGGAGAAAGGTTGTTCTGAAAAAAGTCCTAGAAAAACGCTCATTATTTTTGCACCAACCTAATATTTCCATTTTCATGCATTGGTGCACGCGTATATACATGCAGACGTGCATAGTCCACGGAAAAGTCTTGTCCACAGCGACAGACATTGAAATTGGCTTGTCGTCCGCGTAAGGTTTTTTTCAAGAAACTATCAGCTACTTTTTTTCTCTGACGTATAGCTAAAAAGTAGTCTACGTACGGTCTTCTTTTTTCCTTGAGTCATAATCAAAATCGTATTCCGTATTCGATGAGAAGCATTGATCACAACTAGGATAATGCTTATTTTCAACTATATGTCGAAGATTGCTATTAGGTCATTAAGAAAGTTTTTTCGTTTTCGCGCCTTTGAATTTAAACGATTTTTTCCAGATTCGACGTTTCTCCATCGAATAAATTTCATTGCGTTCAGCAAATTTCTGGCTACACTCCTGTAGTGCTGCTATTGTACTTTTTTCTTTCGAAATAATCTCAGAGGAATCAATAAAGTCCCAAAAGGCGTTTTTGACTAACTATTTATTGGTTCCTACTATTTTTTAACAGGCACCGAGGAATTAGAAAATTTGGTGATTGCTAAAGGACGGTCCAAAGAGTTCGAAAAATAAACAGGAATCTCGGTGCGCAGTCAACCCCATTTGTGAAAGCCACCTTTGTTAAATGTGGTTTGGCGGCGTCATGGACGAGGAGAATCTCGCAAGGTTATGCATGAAAGTCTGCTCAGTTTTAAAATTTTGACGAACGGTCTATAGAACGATATCACCCTACGCTGCTCTTACAGTAGAATCGCATCTTAGCAAGTTTATAGCGTGACATTAATTTGAATACATCAACCATTGGAATGACTGATTGTTCTGGCCATGCTTTCAATGCTTATTCAAAATGATTTACCAAAATATCGCTTCTTGTAGCAGTACTAGGCCAATTTTTTGCTGTAATTAATAACCCAGGCCAAAAAAGGACTGCTCCATCAATTTATGATCAAGGAAAGCAAGAGTCAACGCGCCCTCAATCTGCGAGTGCGGCATTTTGTGGAGTGTATGTCACTGATATTTTTCGGTATTGCAGCTTTAGCGAAGGTGGCTTCCAATGGGGTATATGACACTTCAAGGCCTGCTGTTAATTTTACGCAGCTATATACGCGATTTGCTCTAAAGGCCCTTTGAAATGCTCATTTATATGGTAGGAACACCTTCCAGAACATTGCAAAACATTAGCTTTCACTTCTCTAGATCTGAACTTTTTGAAGTAAACTTGAACTTAGCTCAAGAAAGACGTGCCCTCGGCAAATGCACTGCGCCAATGATGTTTTCCTCAACTGTCTTATACAAGTTCAAGCTTGGAGAATGCAATTATCCGAAAATCGCGTTTTCATTTGTCGAATTCAGAACCGCGTAAATTGTCCTACGAAGCGCTTTCTGCAACTTCGGTGGGATCATCAGAAACTAGAAATCTTCCTCTACAGATACATATATAACAACCCCTATCAGCCCTTTGGCGCTCTCTTAAAATGTGGCACTAACATCAGTGCGCAAAAAGCGAAAAAAACTTCCCGAATGACCTAATAGATTATGAGGATATGTATTTTCAGCGATGCCATATCCAGAATGGGACCTATTCGAGATGTATCACCTCCGGTCAGTTTTCAATTGTTATTGAACCCTGCTTTAGAAATCAATTTCAGATCATTGGTACATCAGGTTACGTGGAATATCAAGGATCTGGTTATGATGAAGGCGAAATGGTTAGTGTGAAAACAGGCGTTTAGAATGTCTTGTCAATTTGTTATCTCATGCCAATGGAAGTCTAGATTGTGGGCGATGAAGACAATGAAGGAACAATTACCTACTTTCTTGAAGATGAGCAAAATCCTGGGAGTTTACTGGAAATGGTGCACTCAGAACGAGTTCGTAAGTGATTGAATGCTGCAATAAATTCTGCATGCAATTTCTCCAATTACAATGTTCTCATGTACCGTACGATAAGGAAGTGATACGTTTCTTTTTCTCTTCAGATGCAGACACTGATCCTCCATCAACATCGAAGGTAACACCTTTACTCATGGAACCTCAACCAACTGGAAATGTTAGCTTCGATGAGACAATGAATGACATCAGAATAAGAATAACTGCAAGTTCTTTCTTTCATTTAACAGACATCCAGCTCCATATATAAGAGCACCGATTGATACATCGGTCGAATTACAGTATGGACAACGTGAAATCTTCAGCCGTTTTTTTAAGATTCTGCAAGAGCAGAAAAGGCAGACGCGTAATGTAGAGAAGGTAAACATGCTGGTCTCTCAAATACGTGATCTGCAAGGGCAACTTGTCCGTGGCGTTCCACAGACAAATGGGTTCATACGAACGACAGAGGCCGAATTCGATGGCGAGGAAGACGGTGAAGATATAGGATATGAGCGTAAGTCGCTACAGTGGCTGCTCATGTCGATAATGATCTATTTAGATATCGAGGGTGATGATGCGATCTGTTTTGAGGTTGAGGTGGAAAGCACTGAAAGTCCTGATAAATCGCGAGAACCAGTGTCTGCCGAGCATTATGAAAATACCACTTTCGATACTGAACCTTATGAGGAAGTTGTTACCGCGGGTTATGAGTATTGCTAACATCATAATAATGAGCTCTTGTTGTCACACCATTGGGGCTGTGGGACAGAATCGCTATTGAAATTCCAAAGATTGTATATATTCGCTTGATATAAATAGTTCAAGTTTAAGTGTTGTTCTATTCGAAATGGGTCAAGTAGTGCGCTTAACAAAATTCGGACCGCACTTTCGCGCAGCGGAGAAGTTTATGCTTTTAGCTTTCTTTCAACAGAAACCCCGACTTGTAATTCTTCCGGAATGTGTTAATAACAAGTTCAGGTCTGATCGTCTTCGAATTTATAGCGCACCCCTGGAACCGTTCCCACAAGTGCCATGAACAGGCTACCTTTCAATCGTTTCAACACGTTAACTCCTGCGGCAATTTCATTCTATCTTCTGCAACGCTGAAAAGTGGTCGGCATTTGCCACCGTTGTACTTCATTCCTACAGTAGACGGCTTCTAATTAGTACCGTACACTTCTCTTGTTACAGAACGGAAATCCCAGAATACAGGTTTTACCATTCTTGATTCCCTTGTGAAAGAATTATGGTCCCCGTTCAAACAAAAAGTCTCAATCTAAACAATCTGCAGTCATCTGCTCATCAAATAACGCTGCAAAGAATGTGACTGGCGTTGGCTCACAAGTTTGTCTACAGCACAACTCATTCTGTGCGTTAAAGAGGAAAGCAAGGATCCACCTGTCGATCGTCTTCTAGACCTCCTCTCTATGAGATTTCACGTTGAAGTTGCTGAGCACGTGAAGGCTGGAAAACAATCGCGGACTGTAAGCGGTATTCCGGAGTTAGGGTCGCACGCGTTGGTTTGGAGCATTTTTGGAAATGAAGTCCCCTATGAATGTGAAAATTCACGAAGTCCCTTTTGACGTGAAAGTCAGTAGGGAAATCCTTGTTGAATCAACATAACAAAACATAACCATAAAAAACGAAAAAAAAGGACTTTTTGGGTACCTAATCTAACAAAAAGGCAAAATAAACATCCTGAGTCGATTCAATTCTTGAGTATGCTACCATTTTAATGTTCAGTACGTTGTGAACCTCGTAGGCCACCAAATTTGTGACCTCAACGATCTGGCGATGCATTTTTGCGCCACATAGTTCAAAGGACACCGCATGTGATTGGTGCGCGATATGTATCATTGCTTTGGCTTACACTATTTTTGGCTCAAAAAAAGAGAAGCAGTGGTTTGATTCGCTCTCTTCGCTATATGATAGATTTTGGAGCGTTCTCTTCGTCCAAATCAAAAGATCCAGAACTTATGTGAACTCTCCGATATTTATGCTCCGAACCAACCCAGTTGGTTTGGTGTTGGTCTAGAAAGCAACAAATTCGACGGTTATTAGGGCGCATAAGTTTTTAGTTTGGAGTAATATTGTATACATACATAGCCCAAATTCGATGTTATGTGATTGTGCGCTGTAAACAAGCCATCTGTTTGTTTTGGTCTTACGTTTGAATTCCGCGCGCTTGCCAAAGAACACGTTCAACTCGTATAATAACCTAGCATGTTTGTCGATTTTTTTGTGGTGCTTCGCCCAAGACCTTATGAAAACGATATCCCGCTTCTCACCTCAAAAACGAAGTCCAGCTTGAGTCCGAACCATCTGTGCCAGGCCCTGTCCGGAGTTACCTAAAGATTACCGCGTGTCTGAGAACACAAGAGCCTCAAAGACAAAGTAGAAAAGGTTTTGGACATCGTCGACGTGGATTGTTGCGCGAATGACGTATATCGTATCGGCAAGCTAAATGCCGAACGGCCGAGATTGGTTAAGGTTATACTGCCTCGACTTTACTGGCAAAGAGCCTTAGCCAATGCCCCCTTTTTTCGCTCGTCTAACTTCTCATATATTTTTTATCTGCAGAAGCATGACCACCGAAGAAAGCAAGGCCGAATACGAATTCAGGCAACAAGTGAGAGAAAGCACTGCTGGGAAACCTGAGAGAGATTGGGTTATCTACCTCGGCCAGCTTAGGCATATGTCGGAGCGCAGCAGACGTTCGGGAAACCACTGTTTATGCATGGTTTTTTATCCTCGCTCAAATGTTTCCTATTTAATGCTTGAAGTACCACTAGTAATATACACCACTAACATTTTTTTTGGCTGATGAGCCTGATCTTTCTTTTCGACCGAAACTTGGATAAAACCGAAAATAACTGATTGGAAATTTGCCATACTCTGTATACCGCAATCACAGAGAAACCCAAAAAGAAGTTAATGTCTGCTGTTTCATCAAGAGCAGCATCTTTGTAAAACATGTAAACATGCTCTCAACATTGTAATTCGACTTACTTTCACTCGATTTGTTTTCATTAGGCTGCGTTCAGACTGATTTCGAACGGGAACAGTTCCAGCACGCTTAAAATAAAGCGCTGTGTTGAAACTGTTTCCGGATTTCAAAATCAGTCTGAACCATAGGTGCGATAGAGGGAGCCGGGATCTCCCCAGGTGAAGGGGGTCTCGGCTGTTCCCGACCATCCAGGGTGAAGGGGGTATGTGAGTCTAGGGGGGGGGAGGAGGAGAGAAAAGGTAAGAAAGTGTGGTATGAAAAGCTCTAATTTGTACCTTATTTAGGCACAAATTGAAAAAAAAATTTAAAAATTTTCAAAAGAAATTCAAAAATTTTTAAAAAATTTATTATGAAGATCTGTGCTCCTGTTTCACTGCATCAACAAAAAAAGCAATAAGGTTTATCCCAAAAGATGTACAAGTTAGGAACAACTTCATTTCCTGCGCATCATCATCAACAATATCACTATCGCTAACGTCAGAGACAACAAATTTGGTGCCTGAAAAATCTTCTTCTTCCTCCAAAAGGTCATTGGAGTGGAAGTAGAATTGAGTGCAAAGCGTTCTTAGTCAAAAATGGACTTGAAACTTTCTTCTTCTTCTAAGCACTTTTGTGATTTTTTTCCTGGCCCTCTGGTAGCACCAGGAAGTCAGCAGGTAGGTGACCAGTTTCTTCATACCATCTTTTAGGATATTTCAAAAAGTCATATGGTAACAGCCTGTCTGGACCACTTATACCAATCCTTTAAATGAAGTTTTTAGATAACAATGTGTTTAGTAGAAGGTTGACAAATCTTAAGTATTTGCTTAGATGCTCTATCGTTGTACAACTTCTGCGTTGTGTTCTGATAACAGAGTAGATAGAAAATTTCTTTCTTCACCTCTGCCGTGCTAGTCGGAATGGAAACTAGCTTTGCTAGTAAGTCCATCAGATTTTTGCGGTAAGTAATGGGAAAAGAGCCAGATCGCATATGCTTTCGCAACACGAGAAGGAAATAGTGCATATTTTTGGGCCTTTTCGAACTCTGGCTTCACCTCCTCTGGCATACTTCCTGTTAGCTGATTAGAAAGCTGCTCAACTTCTTCTTTAACAGCATCTGCGGAATAGCCGAAAAAAGGAGGTACTATGCTGCGCGTTGGTTTTTTTTTTCAATATCATAGGTCATATTGTCACAAGGCGGATAACTTTCAAAAGCATAAAGCACAGAGTTGAGTTCGCACTCCAGCCGGGATCTAAGTGCAGCAACTTGCTTGTGCTAACACCTTCCTTTTGTTCATACCCATGGTTGTGAATTTAGCAGCCTTAAATTCTTCAGGAACCTGAAGATCAGCAATGGACTTCCTGGACAATCCCTCATTGAAACTAGACAATCTGCTTGGATTCCTTATGCAGGAAATCAGAGAGTTTCGCTCAACTGCCAACTCTGTATCAATGGCGACAACATTTTCGTCGGCGTAAGATTCTCCTTCTGCCTCGCTGTTGAACTGGAACACATGCGAGTCATCTGCGATTTTGTAAAATCTTCTGCCTGCCGTTTCCTCTTCAAACTGCCAACCTTTCCAAAACATTGAGGGATATTTTAATAACATGTTATTCTTCTGAATGTCTTAGAGTTTTTTATTCATTGAAACCAACCATTCTCTACAAATTAGGTAAGGTGAGTCTAGAGCGTTTTCACGAATGTGACCTTCTTCAGCACTAGGTTTACAGAGTATAGATTCCAGAAATGGGCGGATTTTTGTGTGAAGGTATGGAAATTCACCTATCTCCCATAGTTTTTTGAGTGTGTGCTAATAATGATAGCATAACTGTCAATCAAAAGCGCATTTTTTACCAAAAAAAACATATACATATAACAACGATAAGCACGCTCAAATAGACGCGTTCGCTCACGTTCCCGTTAGTGCTGATAACGATGTCAATCCACAGCACATTTTTTACTATTAACGTGCTCCACCTCGCTCTTATTAAGTCGTCCAGAAAGTTTTTGCACATGATTTTCAAAATTCATAACTTCTGATTTTTCCAACCGATGTGACTACTTTCACTTTTATGTGAAAGGGTAAGTCATGCTCTTTATAATGACATCCCAGCTGCTTAGTAATGGTCATTTGTTGCACAGATAGAAGCTCAAAACAAAATCACTCAAAATTCAAATTTTTGTGTAGGGTCATAAAAAATCAGAAACTTGCAACAAAATCGGAGCAGTCGGTATTGTAGGTTCTTTCACCAGCTCTTTCTAACAGTGCAAAGTTTGCTCCGATTGATCGTCTTTTTGAAAAGTTATAATTTCCGAGCAAGCAGTACAAAAAGGCGAATTTGATGTATTTTGGCATTTTTCAGGGAAATCATAACTTTTCATGGATACGCTCAATCGGCGCAAACTCTGCACTGTTAGAAAGAGTTGGCGAAAGAACCTACAGTACTGACTGCTCCGATTTTTGTTGCAAGTCTCCGATTTTTTATGACCCTACACAAAAATTAAAATTTTGAGTGATTTTGTTTTGAGCTTCTATCTGTGCAACAAATGACTAATACTAAGCAGCTGGGATGTCATTATAAAGAGCATGACTTACCCTTTCACATAAAAGTGAAAGCAGTCAAATCGGTTGAAAAAACCAGAAGTTATGAATTTTTGAAAATCGCGCGCAAAAACTTTCGGGACGACCTATACAATGTGTTGGCTTTTATAGTCACCGGAGCAAATGATTTTTAGAGCCGGGAAGCAAAGAATCTTCAACATGCTATATACCATTCGAAAGCTGAGATCATAAAGAATCGACGTAGACCGTCGACTTTCTTCTTGGTCTTCTGTGCCGCGAGATATGAGGGATTTTATGTGCTTCAAAAATTAACTGATTTTGTGTCCTCACTTTCTGCTCTCCAAATGAATG